ACACACACTCTTCTTCTTCACTGCTTCACTCCCATCCATCCCATTGCAGAAAGCCTTTTTACAAACAACAACATCAGCAAATCCAACTGAACATTTATGTAAAAATCCTCGACTTATTTCATGTCTCGCCACGCCAACAACCAACAGCAGCAGCAGGAATCACCACAACATCAGCAGCAGCACCAGTACCTGGAGGCCCTGCGTGTCTTCAACAACAACAACAGAAGCAACAATTGACAGACACAGAAACAACTTCTACCCAAATACTTTCAGCCAGCGAGAAGAACATCAGCAGCAGTAGCAGCAGCAGCGGAAGCCGCCATATAAGCTTTGAAAGTAGCCAGAAAAACGATAGGGAAGAAGAGAGCACCACCGGACACGGACACGGAGACGACGGACACGGAGACGTGATCAACGACGACGAGGACGTTGTAGGAACATTGCCATTGTCATTGCCATTGCTTTCCATTAAGAAGAAAAATACCCTCCTATCCCGTCCTTCCTGCGCACCACGCTCCTCCTCATACTCGGATCTGTGCAGCTGCCGAAACTGTGAATCAAGCGCCTCGTCATCATCAGCCTCGTCCACATCCTCCTCATCATCCACGTCCCAGGAGTCGGGCGCAGCGGCAGGCATCCCACGATCCGCCGTTACCAAGCAGCTTGTACGCTCCGTGACCGCCACCAGCATCATGGACATGCCCTACAACACATCGCCCTCGCTACGCGTGCGCACCACCTCACTGAATCAGCTGAAAAAGACCGCCGACCTGGCGATAGAGAACGAGCTTCATGTGTGCCCCTCGGTGATGTCCGAGGAGCTGCGCAAGCTCCTGCCCCCCACCTCGGAGACGGTGATGACGAAGCCCTTCCCCATTCGCGGGGAGCGAACAATCGCTGACTGCACCACCCCGCACGTTATAGCGATGGTGGGCCTGCCGGCCAGGGGCAAGACCTTCATCTCGAAGAAGCTGGCGCGCTACCTCAACTGGATTGGGATCGCGACGCGCGTGTTCAACCTGGGCGAGTACCGTCGGCACGCCACCACGGCCTACAAGTCGCACGAGTTCTTCCGCGCCGACAACGAGGTGGCGATGGCCATCAGGAACAGGTGTGCCAACCAGGCGCTGCACGACTCGTGCGAGTGGCTGCTGAGCGGCCAGGGCAGCATTGCCGTGTTCGATGCCACCAACTCGACCCGGGACCGGCGACAGCTCATCTACGATATCGTGGTGAAGCAGCACGGCTTCCGTCTGTTCTTCGTGGAGTCGATCTGCAACGATCCGCAGATCATCGAACAGAACATTCTGGAGGTGAAGGTGAGTTCGCCGGACTACCTTAACATGAACACCGAGCTGGTGGTGCGGGACTTCCTGCAGCGCATCGAGCACTACGAGGAGCGCTACCAGCCGATCGACGAGGTCACCGAGTCGCATCTTAGCTTCATGAAGGTCTACAACGCTGGCAAGAAGGTGGTTGTCTACAACAACGAGGGTCACGTGGAGTCGCGCATCGTCTACTATCTGATGAACATACACATCACGCCGCGCACCATCTATCTGACACGGCATGGCGAGAGCGAGCACAACCTGAGCGGGCTCATTGGCGGCGACTCGAATCTGAGCGCCCGCGGCCATCAGTACGGCCGGGCCCTGTCCGCTTTCATTGCGCAGCAGCAGATCGACGGGCTGCGTGTGTGGACCTCGTGGATGAAGCGAGCCATCCAGACGGTGGCCGACGTGAAGGCGCCCCAAGAGCGCTGGAAGGCGCTCAACGAGATCGATGCCGGCCACTGCGAGGAGATGACCTACGAGCAGATCAAGGAGCGTTTCCCCGAAGAGTTCAAGGCACGCGATGTCAACAAGTTCGCGTATCGCTATCCGCGCGGCGAGAGCTACGAGGATCTGGTGGCGCGCCTGGAGCCCGTCATCATGGAGCTGGAGAGGCAGGGGAATGTCCTGGTCGTGTCCCACCAGGCTGTTCTGCGCTGCCTCTTCGCCTACTTCCTGGACAAGTCCGCCGATGAGCTGCCCTACCTGTATGTGCCCCTGCACACCGTCATCAAGCTCACCCCCGTGGCGTACGGCTGCAAGGTGGAGCACATCAAGCTGCCCATCGACGCGGTGGACACGCACCGTCCCAAGCCCAAGATACCCGGCGACGTGAGCGAGCCCGGGCTCGACGGTCTCAGCGGTGAGCTGGTGGCGCCCGATGGCGTTGGCAAGGTGCTCATTGTGGGCGATGATGTGGCAACGGCAACGAATGGTAATGGCGGACGCGTCGATGCCCAAGCCCACCAATGACGGCGGTGGCTGCACTTGTTGCGTCCCTCGAAATCCAAGACACTTTAGGCTCGTCATTCGTCGTGGCATGCCCCTCCCCACGCACAAGCTCTTCATCGCATAACCACAACACACAATCGGACATGAACACGGTGCCCCAGCGGTGCCAGCGGTGCCAGCGGCGCCAAGGGTCGCTATTACTTAAACATTCTGTCGACCGACAGTGTATACGTGTCGCCATCCATGTCTCTGAATGGATCGTTGTTTTTAAAGATATGTACATAGGTTTAAGGCCCTGAGCTCTCTTTTTGTTTTCGTTTTGTTCACCTATTCGATGTCTCTGACTGCACACAATTGTTTTATTCACTCCCATAAACCTGGAAACCCGTAAACACGTAAACCTGGAATTATGAACTAAATTGATACGAAGCCTTAAAGGGAGCGATCTAGGTACTAAGTTGATTGTGAGCTATGACCTACACTACTCTAGCTTCATATGTACGAACATATGGACATGTATATAAATATATATGCATATTTACTGTGCGCATAAATGAGTCTTATACTTAAACTACTACTTATACTACTTATACTACTACTGCAAGGGTGCTACCCCTGGATCTGGGTGTCTATTTTTGTATACAATACTTGTTCCATGTCTTGATTTGGTAGGTTCTCCTGTTATCCGGCACTTATAGGCTAGCCTATAGTACGATATACTTACTCTACAGCCACCCCTATGTTTGCTTCATTTGCCTACATGTGTGTGTGTATTTGCGCTTGATATATCATAACGAGATCTAACAAATAAATAACGATTTATCAAACAAACAGCCAACAACTGCATTCTTTCATTTACCATCGGGCAATCCCAAGTCGTTTTCGGAAGAGCCAAAAGTAACATTTGGCTAAATTTACACTCAAATTTTTTGTGGCAATATTTTGGTATTTTATTGGAATTTCAATAAGATATAATATGCATTCACTGGGGGGCAAGCACCCGTCTCTTTTGCTTTAGCAACAACGAAAATACCCTCGATGAAATGCCATTAAGAATATTATTTCCTAAATTTCACTGCTGAAGTACTTAAAACATCCAATAACTTTACACGGCTGACAGTTCCAAAAGCAACCAAAATAAATACCTTTTTGGTATTTTTGGTGGTTTACTGAATTTCGTTCCTGCAGGCCCGAGAAAATTGAAAAAATTAACGATCGGGGATGGAAAGTGTGAGAGATTGTGGAAGCCATGGGCAGTTTTGGGTATGAGAAGGCCTACCGCTAGATGGGTGCCCACAATCGACCACAATGAAGACCTGTCAAAAATCCATGAATTGGGCTTCCTCCCGGATTTACTACCGAGAGATTTACTACTATATCTTGTTTCCAAACCTGAAGAAATGGCTCGGCGGAAAGAGATTTGACTCCAAAGAAATGACTATTTGGAGGACGAATCAAAATTTGTTAGAGAGGCTACAAACATTGGAGAAACGTTGGCCAAAACTGTATAGATCTACAAGTAGACAATGTTGAAAAATAAAATGATTGTTTAGCCAAAAACCTGTGTTTCACTGATTTATTGAGCAGCTCTCGTGTGACTTGCTGCACGCCCTCAAAGCTGCGAAGCGAATGGGCTGGGGTATGCTTTTTAGTGCAGTTTCTCTCACAATTTGTTATATTTTCCAAGACAATATATCCTATACGTCCTATCCTGATTAATTCCTCTCGTCTCTTCTTTCTATCGAATGTCATTCTGGCGGGGCGGAGCTGAATAAAACCAACAACACTAAGCAACCAAAATTGAACTTTTTTCCGCTTTAAAAAAATTGTTTTTTTTTATATAGAATTGAAGCTTTAAATTTGTTGAATAAGTTGTTTTCTCTTGGTTTAGTTTTTTTTTAATATTTAAACCTGATATTTTTTGTACTTTTTTTTTTTCAAATGCAAGGCTTATTTGTTCAGAAACAACTATTTTTTCTATTTTAAGGTTTTTCTTTTCGTTGCAGTTGTTTTATATATTTTTTTTAATATTTAAAAAAAATTTTTTTTTTTAATATTTATTTTTTAAATATTTTTTTTATTTTTGTTTTTATTTATTTAAAAAAATTTTTTTTGTCTGAATTTTACAAATGAAACAATTATAATTGGGTCGTCGACGTCGCCCGATATTGTATTCAAAAGCAAAAATGATCCGCAAAAATGTTCTGCACATTAATTCTTGATAAATCGCGGTTAATCGGGGGTATTTTCGTTGTTGCTGAATCAAGAGAGCTGATGGTTGGTTATAATAAGAATAATATTTTCGCATGGCACTGAAGAGCCGCAAAGGGCTGGAGACCACAATTTTGAGGTTACGAGAAACCGGAACACGCAGAATCCGAGTGGATCTATACGAATATATTGTGTAATCGCTGGAGGAGTTTGGATAAGATCGGATCATTGCGGTGGCTACCAGGCGCCAGTTCTCCAGAGGCTCTCTCTCTCTCTTTGTCTTTCGCTTTCTCTCCCTCCAATGTCCAATCGAATGACTTGAGCGCCTTAAATTGGCTCCTCTGAGAGATCGCATACTGTTCAAGTTATTGCATCACAGCTCATTTGCGGTACATTAAGCGATTATCCCAAATATCTATCTTTATGGTAGTAAAAAATACTTTTTTTTTTTGAGGCATAGAAAATTTATAGAATTCCTGCTCATTTTGTTGTTGTTCTACATTTCAGGTGCCACGAAGTGTCTTCGGATGTGCTCGAGCGTGCCGAGAGGACATAGAGCTACCACTAGACGACTGCACAGACGGAAGGGGCAGCAGGGCGACGGACGCCTTCCTATCGTGCAATCAGGAACCACTTTGGAAGTATTCACAGAGTCCGGCATCATCTGAAAAATGTCACGTTCTCGAAACCAGGAGCCCAACGAGCCGCCGTACAGCGAGGGCGATGTGGTGTGGGTTAAAATACACAACACAGAGATCTGGTGGCCCGGCGAAGTCACCTTGTCACAGAACTTTCGATTCGTGAAGGCCAGCCGGCCCCCCTTTGCAGTTGTTGCCTTCTTCAACGAGAAAACATAGTAAGTCCCAACCCCCGATTGCACTTCTGGCTGGGTTTCTGTATTCTATATTCTGTTTTCTGTTTTCAGCGAGCAAGTCGCATCAAACAAACTGATTCATCCCTTTGAATGCTCCAAAAAGGAGGAGTTCATCCAACGCGGCATCCGTAAGTAGTCCTAGAAATGGTGCATTGGGCTTCTCAAACACTTACGGAGGGGTATACTAGTATTGGGAACGAGTTTGTAGTGGCCTCAAAGAAAATTCACGCGCTTCTAGGCCTCGCGCAGGATCAGGCGGGACCCAGGAGAGATGGTGGGGAGTAGGAGAATACAGTTGCCACGTTCCTGTGTTTTCCAAGGACTCTCCAGGCATCTATGCTCCTCTGTATCTCGAGAGAGAGGCAAGTGTGGGGTCCAGGTCCCAGGTTTAGGGTCTTTCCCGCTGCCAGTGGTGTGTGGGCCGATGTCCTTGGCCTCGCAGTGCAGAGCTCTCCCGGCCTTCGAGGCCCTCTGCTGGGTGGTCTTCATCGCTGAAATTTGAGACCAAAAGTAGGTGTATCTGCCTTTTTGCAAGAATGCAGCTACGTAAAGTCTTGCGTCCCCAGACCTGTTTCCGGGCTAGCGCATGCTGACCTTCAATGATGAAGACACTCCTGGTGCAGGAGAGTCAGAGAGAGAGAGAGAGAGAGAGGCATGAGACCCCTGAGGAGGGTAATCTCATCGAACACGTAGGCCGCCGTGCGAGCGTCTTGGCCATAGCCTGGCTCTCACTTTACCTTGATGCCATCGGCGGCCCTTCTTTCGCCTCCAGTTCCTAAAGGAGACCAGGTGCCTCTTGTCCGTTCTGGACGCCTCTATACAGGCCGGAACCTCCGCAAACGAACGGTTGCAACAGTGTGGTATCACAAGAGTCTGGTTGCTCTACCTCTTGTAGTCTCTGAGATCTAGGCGCTCAAGGAGATGGACTCGGCTGTTGATGCATATACTTGATGGGGTCGGAAACAAAACAAATATATCCCCAAAACTATCCCTAAATTCGTGTATCACTGCCATTCTCGCTTAACTCTCGCCACTCCATTGCAGGAAAAGCCGAAGGTATGAGCACGGAAATGCGGGTCAAGTTCAATGACGATGTCGCGCTGGCTGAGTCCCGTAACCATCAGCAACGGCTGAGTGCGCACGCCGTTGCGCGTCCGGACAGCCTGATCAAGGCGCTCCTCTCGAGCAACAGCAGCAGCCAGAGCGGCAGCACTCGCAGCTCCAACGGGCCGTCCTCGACGCCCAAGCAGGTGAGTAAGCTGGACGCCTCCTACAGCAACTGCTAATGCCCGCCTCCCCCTGCAGGAGTCCACGTTCCGTATTATGGACATTGCGCGCACGGCCGACCCGGTCCCGGAGCGCTTCACCGAGGCCAGCTACGAGTGCAGCACGTGCAGTTTCCGCACCAGCAGCATGAATGTCCTGCTCATCCACCGCCGCGGGCACCTGGAGTCCTCCAGCAAGTACAGCACTAGCAGCAACAGCAGCCAAGACGCCAGCACCAGCCCTAGTCAGAGCCCCAGCAGGCAGACGCGATCGGCCAGACGCGCCAACACCACACATGAGCTCGATTCTCCCACACATTTCGGTAGGCGCCGCCGGGAGAGCAGCAACCACTTCCGTGTCCACTCGCGCCACGTCTCGATTATGGTGGACGCCTCGCTGGGCGACGAGGCCCAGCGGAGAGTGGCCTCTATAGCCCAGATCACGATGGAGAGCATCGAGCGTATGGTGCAACCCATAGTCAATAACAACAGCAACTCCAGGGCGTCCTCGCCCCGCCGTGAACGCTGCCAGAACCGTCGGAACCCCCGCAGTCAGCGCATGAACAGGTTCCGCGCCACGATGCCCGCCCCTGATCAGACACCGGCCAAGCAGCGCCGCCTCACGCGCTCCATGACCCGTCGCCAGCAGGACTTTTCTCTAGCCGATGGGCAGCCGCCATCGCCGCCAACGCCAGCTCTGCCACCGCCGCAAGCGGTTCCGCGGCGCAGTGGCGCCCGCGGCCTGGCTGTTGAAAGACGCCGCACCTTGGCGGCGACCATCACCGAGCAGGCCTTGGCCGTGTCCAAGCGGGCCAGCCAGTCGAGGAAGTCGCTGCTGACAACAACCGTTCCAGTCCAGGTGCGAGATCCCATCTCGCCTGAGAGCAGTGCCCCGAAAGCGAAGCGCCGCAAGAAGGCAGTCGCGAAGATCGAATTTTCGGACGCTGCTCCAGCAGTCGGCGAAGCAAAGAACTCCGAAAACGTTGCCAGTAGCTCCGGAAACACACTTGAAGCACACTTATTGCTGCCGCAGAATGAAGTTCTCCCCAAGGACTCGGCCCAAGGACCGGCAACAGTAACAGTAACAATAACAGCAACAACAACAACAGGAAAAGCGCAGACACCAAATGTAAACTATTCGCAGCCGCACTGCACAGACCCAGCTGCGGCCTCCTTGGAGCTTCAGCTGAGTCTGATGGCCGAGTGGTGCGACGACGAGTGCGAGGAGCCCTTGGGTGGCTCAATCGATCCCAAAGCAACTATGGAAAAAGCCCAGAACCGGGAGAAGGACGTGGAACAGAACAGGGGTGTCGCCGCCAAGAAGCGCATACGCAACATACCAAAGAAGGACCGGCGGGACGTGGTGCTGCAGGAGTTCCACGTGGACAGAAGGCTGGAGACGGGCGACGAACCGATCATCATTCAGGACAGCGATGCCAGCTCCAACGAGAGCGTCGTTTTTATTGAGGATGAGGTTTCGACGCGCGACAGAACCAATGGCAATGACAAATCCAAGGCCCACAACACTTCCTCGTCCTGCTTCGACTTCTCAGAGGAGGAGGACCTGCAGCAGCAGGATGGAGCGAATAGGTTAAGCTACAGACGTCACACCAACCGCCATGAGGCCAATACCAAGGGCACTGGGGACATGGAAGAAGGTCTCGTGTCGCCCATCCTCGCCAAGGAAGCCGTAAAGCTTCCCCAGCCGGGACAAGCGGCGACCGCACGAGCCAGATCCAAGGTCACTGCTTCCAATGACGAATTGTTCAAGGGCTTCGACGATGGGCTACAAATGACAGCCGCAGCCGCAGCCGCAGCCGCCACCGCAGCAGCAGACGCAGCAGCTGTCCAGGCCAGTCGAACTGCCAAAACGATCGCCGATCAGGAAACTGTGCCTCGCTACGCTGAGCCCGAGCCAGATGAAGCAGAGCTCGAGGCCGATCAGCTGAGCTTGCCCATTAAGGAGCGCCAGAAGCGCATTTTTAAGTCGCGCAACAAATCAATACAGGCAGCGCCGAAGGACGAAAGCCATCCAACGTCGGAGTCCGCACTGGCTAGCGACGAGGAAGCCGACGAAGCCGACGAAGCCGAGGGTGCCGGCAGCAACGGCGCCGCCTCTCTTCACCTGGACAATGGGGGAGGAGCCTCTCCCCAGCCCCTCAATAGCGGGTACACCAGCAGCACGAGCGACAGCAGCAGCAGCAGCGGCAGCAGCAGCAACAGCAGTAGCAACAGCAACAGCAACAGCAACAGTAGCGGAGAAAGCAGCAGCGGCAAACGTCATCGCAGCAAGCCCAGGACGGATCCATCCCGCAGACAGCAGCGGCGCTCCAAGGCTCGGTTCAAGCTCAAGCCCGAAGCAACGGTCGAGGAACTTACCAACATTTGTAGCCGGAACAGCAATAACATCTCCAACTGCAGCTCCATATCGAACACGAGTGGAATTGCATCGCCGCTGCTCAGCTCCAGCACGAGCTGCTCGATTGCCTCCAACATAGCGGTGATCTCGGCGGAGGAGGCACGGGAGCTGCAACGAACCGCGTCGGGGGCAGGCCTCATTAATGCAGCCATTGTGGATGCCACACAGCCTGTGCAGCGCGGCGGCGTGCTAATCCTGGAGGACATACGCCTGCCCAACCTCTACGATCGCCTTCCCTTCGGCAGCCTACATTCTTCGGACAGCAACGACAGCCGGCTTCAAAAGACAAACCACGAGGAAGCCGCCGTCGAGGAGGAACAGTCGGGAGACACAGATGAGCAGGATTCGGAAGTCGAAGAACAAAGCGTACCTCATGAAGCCAATCGCCAACTGGCGGCCAATGGCGTCAATATAAGCGAGCAGGTGCTGGACGAAGACCACGGGGAGGAACAGCAAGAGGGGGAGCCTGGCCCAGAGCAAGAGCTCGAATCTGAGCAGGAGCTTGAGTCTGAGCCAGAGCTGGAACCGAACCAGGAGATAGACTCTGAGCCAGGGCAAGAGTCGGAGCCGGAGCCGGAGCCAGAGCCAGAGCCAGAGCCAGAGCCAGAGCCGGCGTCTGAGCAAGAGACAAAATTGGCGGCCGCAACTGTACTAGAGTCGCGAGAGCCAGTGTCCTTTGTGCCCCAAAAGCGGGAGCTGCTTTTGAAGAAGAGAGAGCAAGAGCTGCTGCGCCAGTACGAGGCTGATCTGGTTAGCGGACGGAGTGTTGAGAAGTGCCGAAGGGCGCGGGAGCGCTGGAGCCAGGTAGTACAATCCACAGGGGACTCGTCTCTAGATACAAATGAGGACCAGACACTGAAGTCAGTGTCTCCGGACGTGGAAGCAGGAACGCCCGAGGAGGACGAAACTAGTCAAGCAGAACAGGAGCCATCGCCCTCAGATGTGGATGCGGAGGAGTCCGATGTGGAGAAGCCATCCGCGCTGGACTCTCAAATCGATATGAGCCTTATAGAGTCGGTGAACTCGTTACTAGAGCCTCAGCGCCAGCTCGTTTCAGGAGAGCTGGTGGTGCCATTGGAGCTGTCGCTCCTCGCCCGGCGCTCCAGCAGCCATTCCCGTGCCGATTCATCAGTTACCACCACCACCACCACCAACACCACCACCACCACCACCACCAGCACCACCACCACCACCACCGCCACCACCACCTCCCCGTCCAAGGGCAGGGCCCTGAGCTTTGCCCAGATCTTGTGCGACGACGATGTGGCCAAAGCCCACCAGCAGCTGGAAGACCTCCGTGACGCTTCGCAGCGCCGTCGCTCCAGCTCGTTGCCCATGCCACTGCTGCAGCTTGGGCAGCGGCGCCAGCGCCGACGCTCGCGTAATGTGGGGAGCGACCCCGTCGAGACGTCGTGCGATCCGAAGGAGCAACAGGAGAGTCCAGACAACGTAAGTGTCCCCCCAAAGGGGGAGCTGTTCAAGCGGAAGCGGTGGCTATATATTCTGCTGCTAAGCTCAAGGGTGGCCCTCCCCCTTCACCCTTTCCACTACATGGGGTGTCCATCCAGCACTCTTTCGTCTCTGTATTTGACTTGTGTTGTTGGTATCAGTCTTGTTTTGTCTCTTTTTGGGGGATCCATATTGGGGAAGAGCAATATTGGGCTCCCTTACGGAGCTGAAGGTCGATGGATATACTCCTGTAATCTCCTGACATCCGCATAAGCGGACTCTTGAAGACGCCGTCGAACACCAGAACTCCAAATAATCTGCAGGACCCTCCCTTGGATAGGGTTACGAGGAAAAATAAAGAAAATTCGAGCTTTGGTGGCTACAAAATACCCATTAAGAAACTTTTTAGCCTGCTTTGGCAACACTTTTGGGACGCAGAAGGTGGCACTGTCTCTGAAAGAAGACTTTGTTAGACTCTTTTGGGTGTCGAAAAACAATGAAGACTCGTTTTTTGTATTTTTTTGCTGTCTTCAAGGAAGCCTTGACTCGAAGATTTGGGTGTTAAAAAAATCATTTGGGTGGGCCGATGTATGAGAGCTCTAATTGTCGTTGCAAAGTACAATCCTTATTTTGAATATGGACATTTCCAAGGAAAATCGTACACATTGCAGGTGGTAAAAGGAAAGATGGATAGAGATGGATGAAGATATGAATAGAGATGGACTTTCAATTTTTCTAAAATTATTGCACACCTAGCACTCAAGTCCGGCACTGGATATATCCACGATCAGCCTCAGTATCCAAGCCTCTATAGCCATTACCTCCTGTCCGCATGTCCGCCTGTCTGCCTTGTTCAACGCCTAGAGAGAGAGAGAGAGTCTCAGAGACTATAACATCTAGAGCGACCGAATTTCGTATAGCTGCGCTGAAACAAGTGCGTGTATCTCAAATTTTGGACCCGTATCGTGATTATATATAGGAGTGAAGAATATATACCTCGGTTTCAAGCTGGTACGGTGGCTCACAGCTGAAAAAGCAAGCTCTGTATTTGGTTTCCTTTAACGAGCTGTAACGTGCGCATTTTTTGGTTAGTCGGAAGGAACGTCGACTATAGGGCATCTTTAGTGCCTCTAAATATCAGTCAATGGTTGATAAACGTTATTATCGCTTTTTTTACAGCCGCCCCAGTTGTCCTCTGGACGCATCTGCGCTGTGATGACTACTCCCATACCGGGCTACAATCACACATTTATGCTGTGCTCGCTGGCCAACAACAACTTCATGCCGTTGAACAACGTGGCGTTGTACCTGGACAGCGAGAAGAACCACCTGGTGCCGGTGCCGCGAGAGGCGTTGCGTGAGCCACCGCGACTTGCAGACGGACATCCGATGTCGGCTGTATTTGCGGACATTGACTTCCGCGGTGGCCAGGCTGTGGCTCAGGTAGTGGAGCCGGCGGACATGGAGATGGAGATGAGCGTGGACTTTGAGCAGAACAGCGACGAGCCGTTCGACTCCCTGGAGCAGCAGGTCTCGGTGGAGTCGTCGGCGCAAATCGTTAACAGTCACTCGGAAGAGACCACCAACGATAACAAGCAGGTGGAAATACTGGGCATCATGACGCCCCTAAGCCAAGTGGCCAGCTTCGGTGGGGCCCTCAATGTGGACGAGGAGCTGTCGCTGCACGAGGACCAGCTGGAGCCCAACGTACTGCATCTCAATGTCAACGGCCATCGCCTGGAACTGGACCCTTCGGTGCTTTTCAGCATTGCGGAACAGCCAGACTCTTGCATCGAGCTGAATGTTACTGAGACTGATGCCAGCGGTGGCAGGGCCGTGCTGCATGCCCGCGATATACTCCAAGCAGCCCAGGCGTATCTGCAGGAGCGCGACTTGCAGCTGGTCAACGTGGAAGACATGACCTTAGACGAGGAGGAAGTCGGTGGAACAGCGGCCATGACAGTCCCCGCCACAGACCTGCTGGCCGAAGCACTGGCGGACAGCCAAGTGGTCAACGAGATTGAATATGTCAACGCTGCCAACGCTAGTGTGGCTTTGCTACACATAGAGACACGCACCTCCGCCGCTGGCCTCATGGACGTTGGCGACGACGGACCCGAGGGCGTCGTGTTCGTCTCTCACGTGCTGCCGCCAGCGCCTGCCCACCTCACGCCACCCATCACGGCTCGCACCAACGAAACGAATGCGCTCCTCAACCAGACGCCGATTATGTCCACGCTGGAGAATCCGAGCGCTGTGCAGCTGAGCTGCGTCTCACCCCTCGGCGAGGTTAACCTGGAGGACAGTTTGGCCGTCATCGGCGTCACAAACACCAATGGCATACCCACCTCGCTGGAGCTCCCAATCACCGTCACGAATCCGGCTATAGCTCCCCGCGTGACAGCCCCCATCCCAGAATTAATGCGATTCGCCCCCTTTCAGTAGGGCGACATGTATATCGCGAAGACGTCGTTTTTTTCACCCCCCAATTTGTTTTTTTTTTTGTCGTACACATAAGCGTTTCTTGTAGCCTTAGTAGATGTAACGGAAGCATTTTATGTTGAGCGTAAAAGAGGGAGATACACTAATTTTGTAACCTTTTGCTAGTTTAATTCAACATAAAGAAGCGATCAAATTGTGATGTGGCACAGCGCATACAATCTCGATGTATCTGCATGAGCACGCATGGAATAGTTCCCTAACCTAAGGTTTTCGCCTTGACAACGTTTCCCCATTTACATTGCATTGTACATTGTATGTGCAGCAAAATAATAATAATAATACACTAGCAAGTAAGTTACGTAATGGACACTGTCGCAGGAAAAGCAGCAGTATGCGAAAGAAGAAGCAGCGATTGCGTAGTAGGATTAAGATGCTCCGATCCGAGCGCCCACATGCAACAAGCAAACAGCACATAGACCATATAAGATAAAAGTTAGAAGATAGACATGTACACAACTGAACTCCAAGCGAAATTTATATTTTATATATTACGTCGCATACGTCGATTGACAAAGAAAAATGAATGTGTAAACTAAATACCGCGAAGCATATTGCTTTGACCAGGCAACGAACTAAATAAAGCCAGCATAATCCAAACACCCACTGTAGATCCATACTGGGAACGCCTGTCCAACAGGGTTCTACGACAAGCTCAATGGACAAGTACAAATACGATATATAACATCGCGGCAAGGGCCGCGGCACACCAACATCGACAGACATCGGTCTTGCACGAATTCGTCAGATAGAAATATTGAGAACAGGACTCCATCGGACAGTCGATGCATCACGGTCTGAAAGGGGTACAGGTTAAGTAAATCGTAAGCTCACAGATACATATACTGACTGAGCAGAGGCAAAAACCATACAACACCAGGATATTGCGTCAGGAACAAATTCAATTAAAATTTTTGTGGTACTTCAATGCTCTTATAGGCGATTCTTCGTCTCCGGTCATTTCCCAGCAACAAATGCACAGACTCTAGATCTATGTTGCATTGCTTGGGCATGATTCTTCACATTGATGCTCGACTCGAGTTTCGTTTATAATGGTTATTCTGATGGGCTCCACTTGTAGCCCATAAGGAACACTTCCTAAGAAGAATTAATATTACAAAATCCCATACAGCCAATTTATACTCTCGACATTCGCCTGCAAACCAACCAACTTTTTCAGGATCGATTTACTTACAAAAAACAGCTTGTCGGTAAGGTCTTTGGTTTCTTTGGGATGGAAAAATTCGTACGAATTGAAATTTATGTGCTCCGGTTTTCGTTACTCTTTGCCACCGATAGTGTTTCGTTTCCAAATGGTTTGAAAACATGAAAACAGCTGTTTTCTTTGGGCAATCAATTGATATATTCTTGTTGAATATGTCTTTGGGTTTCGTTATTGCAATAATTCGCGAATCAAAGAGCAGGTGATATCTGCGGATTAGTGCAGCCATGTTGTATTTATTGGATGAAAGGTAAGCCTTAGCTACAGGCCTAAATTGCTAAAGCGGATCACACTGGAAAATCTTCTGGATATTGTTCGGGAAATGTCGGGAAAGTCCAAAAATTGCAGGAGGAGCACCAAGAAACAAAGCGACGGATACTCTAGCAAATTTCGAGCAGCCCAGGCCAAATAAATTTCTAAGCAGAGCTGCTGAAATTTTAAGGGAACCCAAAGAGTAATGCTTATGGTACATAAAAAAGCACATTTAACTAATTTAAAACTCTTAAAATTTCACAATTTAGACAAAAAGATTGTTATTTTATATTCTTCAGCTGCTTTTGACGGATGGTCGATGGTGGATGGTGGATGGTGCTAGTGTGAATTGAGGTTTTACATCTTTCATAAATTGCTTGAGGAATTGCATGAAAACGTTAAACCGTAGAACATTCTTAGTTCCGAAGGTTTGCTAGGTCGGTACACAACATTTAGAAATGATCGTTCGTCCCGACTTGCAGTTGGGCTTCTGATTGCACGTCGGAGCAGTTCACAGTCCAGGTTCTTCCCGTCTTCCCGCCTTTGCAATCTTCAATACTTTCTCGTACATTCCACCTTCTTATGATATTTCAATTGAAGACCAGCAACTGTCGGCTTTAAAAACTGTTTCTGCCTCGCTATCAGATAAAGATCATATGATGGTGCTTGGTGTCTTCAACTTGTCGGGTACTTTTCAAGCAACCTTCAATGAAGCCTGTTCCCCCCGTTGCTCCGGCGAAAGGCAGACGCACAAGTTGGACTGCCCACAAATTCAAAAAGCATGACCACCGCCATGCAAGCCATGTCCATGCGATTTTCAGACATATTACTAGTGATTTCGATCGGGTCTCCGTGATAGACAATGCCCCCGAGTGTGTACAAAATAGTCCCAAAATAAAATGTAAACTTGTGGGATTGGTCTACCGAGTGATTATAGTCTTCCAAGGAACCGCTCAAGTGGTGGCTCCAGGTAATGGGTTTTAATTTGGTTTATTTGATTGATTTTTAACAATAGCCTGATGCTTTTTCATTACATTTAGCTTTATTATCAATAACAATTTCTTAATTCAATAGCTTGTGTTTTTCTGTTGTTTTGTCTAGCTTTCACTTTTTGTGTGTATTCTGTGTTACTGATCAAATTATTGTAACCGTTTTCACTCAACTTTAAACTTGTCTTGCTCTACACTTTCCATTAAACTCCACGAAAAGTCTGCCTTTTACTCTGTGGTGAACATTGCTGAATGCTGTTATGGAAGGTTTAACTTAACACAAAAGGCTTAACAAATCAATTTTCAATAAATAATTACATTTAACTTGTTGCATATTAATTATATAAACAATGGAGCTCGTGTTGCCGCTTGAACGTCGACACAAATAAACTACGTAACTCAAAAAAATTGGGGCAAACTAGCGAATCTGAACGCGTGCAACGCGTGGCCTGAACAAATTAAATAATATACATAAGTATTCGAACATAAAATACTTTAGGTAGCTTTTCTTTCTTTTTCATTGGTTTTGTTTGGTGGTCGGGGAAAGCAAATTTTGGCAGAATTTGAGAAAGTTTAAAATAAAAAACCTGCGGCGAAGTTATGAGTGTTAGCTTTTTTTTCATACTGAGTCCATCTACATCGACCTGCACTTTTTTGGGGCGACCTTTCTATTTTCGTTACGGATTTTATTGAGGCAGGTTTTGCGGGGCAAAATCTACAGCTTTGCGCAGATCTCATTTGTGAACTCGGAGCACTTGGCGCGACCGCCGAGATCACCGGTCAAGTATTTACTCTCCTTGATGGTTTCAAAAGCAGCGCGCTCGATCTTATCGGCGTAGGAGTTGAGCTCCATGTGGCGCAGCATCATGACCGCCGAAAGGAGCAGGGCAGTGGGGTTGGCCAGATCCTTGCCGGCAATGTCGGGAGCGGTACCGTGCACAGACTCAAAGAGCGCGCCATTCAGGCCCATGTTGCCAGAGGGCGTCAGGCCGAGACCGCCAACAAGACCGGCGCACATATCGGATAGAATATCACCGTACAGATTGGGCATGACCTGGAAGCGAACGCTCATTAATAAAACCATAAATACAGCGTTTACATAGTACTAAAAGGTCTCAGCTTACCAGTACGTCGTATTTTCCAGGGTTCTGGACCATGTTCAAGCACACGGTGTCCAAATACCGCTCCTCGAACTGAATATCCGGGAACTTCTGGGCCATGTCACGGACACATCGCAGAAACAAACCGTCAGACATACGCCTGAAAGTAAAAGTCGATAATTTAGTTGGTGCCGACGCTGCACGACGCTCTACTTACATAATGTTTGCCTTGTGCACGACGGTTACCTTCTTGCGATTGTTGTTCTTGGCATATTGGAAGGCATACTCGGCTACGCGCTTGGAGGCCTCCTCGGTGATCAGCTTGATGCTCTGAACGACGCCATCGACGATCTCGTGCTCGATGCCCGAGTACTCGCCCTCGGTGTTTTCGCGGATAGTTACTACGTCCACATCATCGTACAGTGTTTTATAGCCCTCCAGACTGCGGCAGGGACGCACATTGGCATAGAGGTTGAACTCCTTGCGCAGGGCCAAGTTGAGCGACCGATGTCCCTTTCCCACGGGAGTCATTAGAGGGCCCTTCAGGCCGATCTTGTTCGTGTTCACCGAATCGATGGCAGCTTGTGGAATGCCGAATTTTCCATCTGGTCCCTGTTCAAAATCAATAAAAGAATCCACAGATTTTTACGTGATTTTGTTATATACAGGTATTCTAGTAGGTATAAGATGGAGTAAAATATAGCCGAGTGGCTTTCAATAATCAACAACAAATGCAGGAATGCAAGAAAATTTGTTTAGTTTAGGACTATTATTTCAGTGAGCAACAAATTATTCCAGTTTTATTCGCATGTGTACCATATGATGCTGCTTTTGATCGCCTTTATTAGGTTTATTCATTGTTATCAATTCGAGTATTATTAAAAAACTGGTCTGGTGGGTAGACTGTTCTGAAAAAAAAAGCCATCTAATTTTTGACATGACTTACAGCAAAAACAGTCCCGAACTACCCTTGATTTTATTTTTATTTTTAAAATGTTCCTTAAACATGCCTCTATCGAAGCGATTTGGGTATCGCATCACCACGAATAACCACCAAAAAATTTTTAAATAAAATGAAATACTAAACATTCTTCAGCGATCACCAAATATACACCGGCCACAAAGTGCCACTTCCAAGACGTACTGTAAAGCCTCTAGACATGGCAGCAGAATGGACTCGTGTTCCCCCCAAATATAGTTTAGAGAACCGACGGTGGAGAATCACAGGGGTCGATTCTACACCGTCCTTCCCACAGATATGGAGTTATCCTGTACTGGCGACGCCTTCTCTGAACATTGTGCTCCTCCACAGCCGCCAATTCCACAACGAATACATTCCTGCTTGCTTTAATTCTTTTCTAAACAATTTAAGACTTTTTAACAGAATTTTATTCAACAGCTGACGCTGTTAATGCACACCTTATCCCACTCTGAGGTGCCGCTGGAACCCAGCAAAATACATAAATACATGGTTGTCCTTTGGACCGCTTTGATAAGTTTTTTTTTCTCCTCGTTCAGAGGATATATACATATATACAAATAAATGCATATTTCTGTCTATATATGTTGCTCTGTTGGTTTGTAGCTCTTATAAAAACTGTGAAAACCCTGCACCGATTAAGTTGAAATTTTGACATCTCATAAAATTCAGTGGACGGTTATAGGCTATATGTATATCAAATCGGAAACAGGACCGACAAGGCCATGATTCAGTTGGGACATTCGGAACATTGTGCATCAATCCACTGAAGGAGAACGAGAAATCAAACACCAAAGCAGAAGAAATCTTCGCAAGAAGAAAGACATCAAGGGATGACTGGCATCGAGCAGGTTTTCAATAAAATTGCTCAATGGAATAAGCTTCAAATTCTTCCGTTGTTTATGAGCATTGCGTCGCAGAAAAGTTTGCGGCAGGACCGCCTGAATGATGTTGACTCAATGGCAACGTGAAATGAACTGAAGATGGCGGTAGCGGGATGGATATATTGCGTGTTTCCATATCGACGAACCCACAAATATTGTATGCCCATGCAAACCACAATGCGCGCCACCACAATGGACATATATCCATCTACATTTTTGTTCTAGGTAACCGTTAGCAACCAACAAATGTTTGAATAAAAACCGGCAGCGGCAAAAATGTAATGAAGGAGAATAGGAGGTTGTTTCAATCAATTCAATCCAATTCGTGCATTATTTTTGCCTGCATTTGTATTTGTACATATGTATGTATATGTATGCGGAAGCGGGAACGTTGTGAGCCGCGGCTAGTGAAGCTCAACCCACACTTGCAGGCATGTAAGCTCGTTTCATTGTGTGCCTCGGACTCACTTATACTATGAGTACTCATTATACTATACATGTACAAACATACGTATGTTCTTGATAAGGATGATGATCTGAGTCGATATGTCATATGTTTCTGTCTCTATACAAAACATTTAATCAGATTCGAAGCCAACGAAGACAACAAAAGCCAAGTTCTGTGTGTGGACTCCTTTAATAACACACTGAAACAAGTGGGCACGTGTGCCGCTACTCACAACTTTAATCTGCCTTCAACTACTGTCAAATTTATTACTACGATTACAGTTATCATTGAAGATAATTTAAGAGATTTAAAAATTTTCTTTTCGAAGGTAAGCCTACTTTTTGGCATATGGGCCATACCAATCCGGCGTTACGTTGCATTCGCATGACAGTGTTTAAAAGTTTTTGAGTTTGGGGTAAAAAACAGCACAACTCTGCGAATTGGGTAGGTCTATCTGCATAAAACATTTTTTGTGCTGGTATACGAAGTATTAAGTGTTCATTTTCCAAGTTATTAAATCTGCGGAGGCATCTGACGTACATGTGTACGTTACTGGCGTTACGTTACCAAAATTCCGTGCTAATTAAAGTTACGCGAGGGGGTACGTTGTGAGTCGCAGCTACGGCCACGGCTCTACATTTATACCCGATACTCAGTCAGAATGGCTGCTCTCCGCCAGAGGGCGCACACATTGCACTATGAAGAGTGTGTGAGAGAGAGACAGAAAACGAGCAAGCACGTGACGCCGTTGCGTAGTAACTGCAAAGCAATATTGTGGTGCCACAGATGTTCGTCCTTTGTGGCGGCGGAAGAGGGCGGGGCGAAATTTTGAAATACACTTCTATCAGTGCGATATCACGGGAAACTGGACTCAAAATTTGGTTGCTCTAGCTTTTATACTCTCTAAGAACTAGGTGGCAAACAAGACGGAAGGACAGACAGACTGACAGACAGACATGGCTCAATCAACTCGGCTGTACATCCACTTTTCGCACAAACCCAATATACCCTATACCCTTTTTAGTATCGGGTATACAAATATGGATTTTGTTGCATAGTCTTATGAGAAACAGGTGATACTTACACGCACGGGGGTGACATCGACGGCTTCCCATTCAATGGGCACACTCGCCGCAGCGAATATTTTTTGAACGGCTGCGGAGATCTCAGGACCAATGCCATCGCCGGGGATCAGTGTAACCTTTTTAGATCCAGATGAGTAGGCGCGACTGGCAGACGGAGTTGTGTTGACCTGCAAACAACAATACGTTATTAATGCACACATACATTTGTTCCATTTGGAAAAGCAATATGAAGCTACTGGTTAGCTTCTGAAGATAGCTATTGGAGGAGTTAGTAGTCATAACAAAGACTGAACTGTTTCTAAATAATTTAGAAAAAACTTAACATATGCTATAAACATACACATATGCACAGATAGATTACATAAGAAAGATATACAAAGACAGCTGCAGCCTCTGTCCACTGTGGGTACTCGCTATTCATCTTCGTGTCGTACTCTACCCTGGCCCTGCTGCTGCAGACAACGTAAAGTTGAGGTTAGAGAGCAGCAGCGTATTGTTGAGAACAAATGATTACCCTTTTGGGTACTAACTAAATTGCGCTGATAGTTTCGTTTCCAAGTGCCATCAATCGCAACCCGATCTACGCCACTGTGTTAACACCCCCCACCAGCAGGTTTCGGCCACGCAATAAGAGATAGAACGCTGGCTGGTTATGTAAAGGGGGATCTTGCTCTTTTTTATTTCGCCAAGATAAACCAAACTGTATGCAGACATTTTCGAGTTTTGGGCGAAGATGGGACTGATTCTGACTCGGATTCACTTTTGTATAAACGAACCTTGGCTTTAAGTGTTGTTTCAGTAAAGACCGTTGACGCTGAAACTGCTGCCGGATCACGCGCAGCCGTAAGACCCAATTGATTGAGCTGGAAATGTTTTGCGTAATGTGTTGTGGTTGTATTGAGTGGATGTTTTTGAAACGCCATCCGAACGGAGAACAAAATGAGTTTATTTTCATTATTTTTGTAGACAATAACCAAGAACGTAATCAATAGTCGGTCTTAAATGCCCCAAGGGGTGGTTGCACAAGGGGGTGGGTGGGGTGGTCGAAGAGGAAACTTCGAGGCGATGTTTCGTTCAGAGAAATAATTTGCTAGAACAGTGTTCAATTAAATTTACACATATTCTTACAATTTTCTGTATGAATCTAGCAGCCATTGCGTTGCTTAATATATTTTCACTTGCTCCTTCGTGTATAGAAAAATAGCCACTCGTTTGTCTGTCAGTTTAGTCGCCACCTTGCGGAAAACTGGCGAATCTGCCGATAGACTCGAATATCAGAATGAACGCTATGCCTGATATCGATATTAAATGCCCCGTGCAGCTGTCTGTAAAAAACTAGCCCCCTTGATTAAAAAAATGTTTCTAAATAAATTAATGAAATTAGTAATGTTTTTTACATATAGTACGAACTGAAAATTCGATTTGAAAAATATCCAATCGACCTATAGCAAAGTAGGCGAATGAATGAAGGCTGTAGCTTATTATTCATATCTATATTAAATTTGTTCCTAATGATGCAGTTTTACAATCTGAATTATTTATACAAGGCACAAACGAAATTTAAATAGGTTTCTAACAATGGAATCATAAGTAAAATGGTCATATTCCACTGCACTTCAGCTTAATGCAGTGAGACCAGATATAAAAACGTTATTAGAAAAAGAAAACAGTGTAAACGATATATGCTTCATGGCCATTCATTCCAAACAATTATTTTAGTATTTTTAGTCGATTTGTTGGCTGCAAAAAAAACAAACTTCAAGGTAATAAGATAGATTAAATAATCAGATTAGATTAATCTAAATCATCTCTGAGTGTGGGGAACCATTTTCACTGACATTTACACCACCTATCGATAGAATTCGTGCTAATACTTCAAAAATTTTAGGTATTGTGTAATTGAGTTCGAGATCTGATAGGTGCGTGTGCTCCCAGAAAAATTTTACAAGTCATCCACATATTAAAATAGTTAATCTAATGATTTATGATTTATTTTAATGATTACATCTATATTTCCTTCTCTTTCCTTAGCCATAATTTTAACGCGCCAAGATTTGATTTTTGATCTGTTTGTTGTTGTTGCTACTAGTGGTGATACTTCAAACGATAAGCAGGGCAGGGTTGAAATACTCGGGAAATCGAAGAAACAACTGAATTTGCACCATAACTCAACTTTTTCCACCACTAGGCCCCTATGCCTATCCCATGTAAAAAAAAGAGTGTCGCCCAAAACTCTATATCTCCACCCTAGTGCAAATAAGTGAACCACAAAATTATCGTTTATATGTGTTTTTTAGACTAAATTGATATTGAAGTGTGGTGGAAAAAGACCATTAAGAACCTGCATAGCGACCCCCCCAGTTAATATATCGAAACATTCGTATCGATAGTATATTAGTATCCTTTGCAACCATGGTTTTTTCAGCCTTAGTTTAAATTATATTCGGGCATTTCGGCAGTTTTTCATATATATTGTTAAACAAATTCCAGTTTAAAGATATGCTAAATTGAATTCGCAAATTGTAAAGTTTTACGCGGAACGTGCAACACAAACCACCAACGCAAAACACAAAACCAGATATATCGACAGACAAAGCTACGCTACGGTTGTATGAGTCAAAGTGCGCTGAGCTCGAACCAGCCAGAGAAGTACGCGAGCGATTTTTTTTTCGCATTTCAGTTTTGGTGTCGGTTAACTGCGCGAAACAACCCCGTCGTTTTTGTCGTGTTTTGTTGAGCGTCCCAATGACTCGAATTTAAAAAAAAAATAATTTAGCCACAGTTACTGCCTGTGGTTCTGTGCATTGTAGCATTCTGTGTTCTGCGACTACGAATTCGACAGATACGTAAGCGATAGCGAAAGTGAGCGTCCATTTCTTTTGTGCAGCACTCTAGCGCGGGTTTTCAATTGTTCGGGTGGCACGCCGCGGTCGGTCAGGCTGAAAGGTAAGTCATCCCCTCCGGGAAATACAAATTTCGCATAATGATCTTGAAAACTACGATTTTTCGCTAAATCCAATGCATCTGAACTTGTGCTGGCTTAGCCATTCGCGCGAGCTCTCACCCATGCACACACGTACATATAGTTTAATACATGTCTGTTTGACAGAGCAATGCTGCGGTTGTTTCAGCCAAAGTACGCACACCCTCGATGAATGCCCTGCAAACGTTTTAGAGTTTCCGTTTAACACTTATATTTTCCCCCTGGGTAATCCAGATTGTTGCAGTGGATATATGCAGATAAGCAGGATATTAACGCATCGCTTTTTTCTTTTTCTCTTTTGTCTCATAGTGTTACTCATAGTATTACTGTTTGAGACGGCAATATTCGTTTAAACTAGCACACTGGAGAAGTTAAATAAACGCACCCAGCTCATACGGGACAAAATGGTGTTGGCTGAGCGCAACACCACGGATGTGGTGCGAAACGGACGTCGGTCGCGTGGACCCAGCCCCAACACGAATACAACTGGTGGTGTCGCCTCAAACGCAAGCCTAGTTGTCGGCGGCGGTGGTAACCCCACAAATCCCACATCCAATGAGAAGGCCTCAACGACCGTACCGGGTGCGGGCACGCCGGAGAGCTCAGACGACGACAACTGTAAGTACTTACACTTAGCCCAACGAATGAGCAATTCAGCAAGTTAACTGCTTCTCCTCTCTTCTGCAAAATCCTAGCCACAAAGCGCAACGGCAAATCAAAGACCAAGCAGTCCGAGTATGAAGGTAAGTCAGATCCTTGCTTCTCTGTCGCCTCTCATGCTGAATATTTTGTTGCAGAAAAAATTCGCGTAGGACGCGACTATCAGGCCGTTTGTCCACCGCTTGTCGCCGAAGTGGAGCGCCGCCCAGAACAAATGAACGAACGCGCCCTCTTGGTCTGGTCGCCGACAAAGGAGATACCAGACCTAAAACGTACGTTGCATAGCAGGCTCGGCGGCATAACAATACCCAATCCAGAAGCTTCTGTGAATCAACATTTGACCGATTGACCTCTGCATTTGTATACTCGATAAATTGATAGATTTGCTCTCTTGTACGCGGTGTTGTTATGTCATGCCCACCCCCTGTTTATGTCCTGGTGCTTAGTCAATTATTAATGTGAAATCCCGACGACATGCAGTCGAGGAATACATTTCAGTGGCGAAAGAGAAGTACGGATACAACGGTGAACAGGCTCTGGGCATGCTCTTCTGGCACAAACACGACTTGGAGCGGGCCGTAATGGATCTGGCTAACTTCACACCATTTCCTGATGAGTGGACCATTGAGGACAAAGTCCTATTTGAACAGGCGTTTCAGTTTCATGGGAAAAGCTTCCATCGCATACGTCAAATGGTAAGTAATCTCTGCCGCGGTGAAATGTGAGCCTAACTTAGTTTCCTCCTCCCCCCACCCACCAACCCATCGAACAGCTACCGGACAAATCAATCGCCAGTTTGGTTAAATACTATTACTCGTGGAAGAAGACGCGTCATCGTAGCAGCGCCATGGATCGACAGGAAAAGGCCATAAAGGTTTCTGTCAAGGATGGCTCCGAGAACGGCAGTGAAGTGGGCAGCAATGAGGAGTCTGACAACGATGATAAGGTAATTATTGGGCAGAAAGCTGCCTTTTGTGTAACGATATTAGTGTAAAGATCCTTCCCTTCTATCTCATATCCATACATATGTACAAAAGCTCTCGAACAGATATAAACGCTCCACTCATCCACTCAAACAACACACACACACACACACACATACATAAAGTGAAAGAAGACGGCACCTCCCTTCCGCCACCCCCCATGAGCCCAGTAAATTATGTCTGACAAAAAAACACAGCCATTTGTGTGTGTAGCGCGCTCGCATTTTGAAAGAACTAGAAATCTTTTCCCTAAGACAATAGAATAGATACTTACATATTTCATAGCTGCGACTGACCTTCGAAACCTACAGTTTATCTTTCGTTTTTGCTACTTTTCGAATACAGTTGGGGACCAGCTTTTGGGGACCAACCTTAAGGGTGAGCAGGGTCCTGAACCTGATTGTTTCGTACTGCTACTCCTGTCCGAACTGTTCTTCAAAAAAAATCAAATTTCGTACTTGTATGTGTATTAGTTGGGCCTGTATCTACTGCGGTTCCCAGCTCTTCGCACCCAGCTATGCGGTATACATCGTTACAACGTATGGTTCATTATTCTTTCAGATGATCGCCGTGCCTGCATACATCTCATAAACATTTAACAGAGCATACACACACGCACACACACACACATACACACACATATATATACTAATACTAATGCCAAAACCAATACATTGACCAGCATCTACGAGACTTTAACGTACATTAATGATAATACTTCCTACGCGTACAAAAATGCCAGTCGAGAGCATTGCAGAGTTGACCTGATTGATTGAATGAACTATGATTTTACACATGCTAAATCGAAAGATCAGCGTCACCCTAGACTAAGACAAACAAAAAGAAAATTATTTGTTCGGTTAAAAATTCTTCTTATTTTTTTTTAAATAATGATAAACATAGATTTGTAAATTATTTTGCATGAATTATTAAATTGTGTAAAGACATTGATCGACTTAAACGAACAAAAAAGCTAAATATAAACGTTACAATTAATCCACATACATATGTTAGAATAGTTCGAAGGAAAGAGATATGCATACGCATAGATATACATATTTATATGCACATACATGTGCAGGTTTGGGGTTCGGCTTAGTTGTTGGAAACCAAGGTCCTTTTGGTGTGAAACAATAAAATAAAAGAGGTGCAGATTTGAGCTGAAAGTTGAAAATCAAGTCTTTCGAGAAGTATAAGATACATTTCAGAGCTTATCCCTCTAGATAATACATCCATAGTCTAGTATGGAAAGTGGAAACTTAACTAAAACTTAAAATAGATCTAAATACTCACAACAAACATACGAAATAAAATCCCATCGGGGCTGCCATAGGAACCATCGGCCAAAGATCATATTTTCCACTTTCAGGTCAAGTCTGCCTCCTAAGCCAAACAGAGCCCCAATAGTACACATGTATACTATGTATCGAGGGTTATAGAAAGGTAGGAACGATACTCAATGCACGACCACAAATCACAGCACCCTTATCCCGTATAAGTTAAATGTCTTGTTTTTAAAAAGATTAAAAAAGAAAAGAAAAAGAAAACCGTAAACCAAACTCTTATGCGTGTTTCCTATTTATAGAGATGTCCATGTCCGTGTTTGCCCATTAATTTTACGCTTACGCATTAAACCACACAGAGACCCGAGCATAAATGTTGCATGTACATAAATACATTTGTAATTCGCCATTCGCCATTCACCACTGAATTCCCTGCCTAATCCACTGTGAGCGTTGCCCGGTACGCGTTAGTATGTATTCAAATTATACTTTACTTAAAAAGGTGGAAATTGGGAGTGTTCTACTCTTAAGGAAAATGCAGTACGCCCCTTCCCCTTCCCTCATTCGCAGAAAACACCCAAAGAGAGAGAGAGAGAGAGAGAGAGAGAGAGATACACAATCATCTATTGGTTCACAAACACTCAGACACACACTCAGACACACACACACACACACAGACACACCAATGCAAAAAACAGCGCAATTAGTGCGCCTCATTCTCAATTATTTGGATTTTGATTACTCCTCGGGAGATTGAGGAGCCAGCGCCTCACGTAGAAACAGATATGTTTTTGGAAGGGCTTTGGGCGGGTAGAGCGACCAGTGGCAAGCCGGGACACCGCAACACCGCAGCACCGCAGCACCGCAGCACCGTGCGGACTGCCAATCGAGAAAACCAATCCAGCAATCTGCCCACAGCAAACAATTCAATTACAACCTCTTCTACTTGTTAAGTGTTACCAACTGAACTAAAGCAACAACCCAATACGTTTTTTCTCTTCTCTTTGCATTTACTGTCAATAAATCCAACACACTAAAAAATAAACCCCACAATCCAAACTCAACTCAAAATTGCCCGAAACCGAAAATATATCTTAAAAAAAAAAAAAAAAAAAAAACAATTCGAAAATCAAATCAAAATTATTGATCATAACGTAACGTGTGGGTACCCATTAAATTAATTCCAACAACCGAACAATCGAAACAATCGTTGCTGCGTTGCCTTGCATCCGAAATGAATGAAATCCTTGCCTGGCCTGTGCGCCACCAGACGGGCCACAACAACAATGGCACCACCAACACCAATGCCAACACGAACACCAACAACAGCAACAGTACGAGCAGCAGCTGCATCAGCCACAACAATAACTGCGACAACAATAACGGAGGGAGCAACAGCAGCAACAACAGCAACGACGTGGACGCGGATCAATTGTGCATCTACACGACGAGCGCGCTGGGCGATGATATGCTGGGCTACGGCCTGCCAGCCGAAGGCGCCATCAATGGCATCGGCAGCAACAATGGAAACGGCGAGCCCGGCACCGACGACAATTCGACGCGGCGCGTGGTTGTGGGCGGTTTTTGCAAGACATGCAACGTGGTCTGCCACGTTCTGTACGGTTCGCCCATGGGGCGCATGTGCAAGAGTTGTCATACGCATTGGAGGTAGATATTATGCCATGGATAACTGTATATGTATACTCTACTTTATTTGTATATATACTATCCGCTATAAGTTTTACCAACCATCAAAATAATGCTAAGTTTTTTATCTCTCTCCTCCCTCTCTCTCTCTCTCTCTCTTCTCTCCTCTCCGTTCTCAAAAAATATTGCATTCAATTGAATCTTGTTTATGACAACAATGTGCCCCGCCCCCCGACCAACCCACACACACACACACACACACACACACACACACACACTCATTAACGGTGTTCGTCCCGAATCGCGACCCTGCGATAGACGCACGGGCAATCTTCGTCCAATCTCCGGTCCTGAGAGCAATGTACCCAGACGTTCTACTCACAACAGCGCCGCCACTGCGGCGGCCGACCGCTCCAAGCGCAAACCACCCAAGGGCATGTACATCAATCACGACGATATCACGGCCCTCGCCACCTGCAAGAACCGCAGCGTGTATTTGGCCGAACGCGGTCGCAAGAACAGCGCTTTGATGGCTGAAGTAAGAACAGTGCTAAGCTCTCCCTCCCTGTCCATGCCTGACCCCTGATGCTTGCCTCCACACTCGCCCTCGCCCCTTGCCACTAGGTTAAACTAGGTTTAAAGCAGTTTATCTTATCTAGATATAGTAGGTCGTTAACTTAAGCTAAAGCTGGAACAATGCAAATATCAAGCATCTTTTCGATAAACTAATATAAAATAATCTCGAAAAGTTACAAAAGTGGTCGAAATTCTTTATTCGGCGTATTACACTCGCACGGAGAGAACCAATCCCATAAGGATAATCATGAGAGTGGGGCGCACATCACTGCTTTCACATTCACCAACACGCACATAGATATACTCACCCGATATACATACGTTTACAAGTTAACCAGACCCAACTGTACCTACACATTAGACCCAATGACAATTTTCAATTGAATGCCCCCTGCGCCCTGACCCATTGCAGATACAAAAGAATAGGCAGCATATGGAGCTGTTGGAGAAGGAGTGCGACGCCATCAATGTGGAGGATGTTGTATCGAAGCCAGCGGCAGCGATTTCGGAAGCGCCCACTGCGCAGCCGCGCACCTCGGCTCGTTGGACTTCGGATGAGATCCAGGTGGCGCTCCTGGTCTTGCGCGGCCACGGAAGGAACTATCCGGTGAGTGTGACCTCTTTCGGTCGCGGAAATTAAAAGTCATTCTAAAGATATGCCCTTGTTGAAACTGCAGATGATAGCCAAATACGTGCCCACCAAGACCGAAGCGCATGTCCGTTCCTTCTACCTAAATAATCGGCGCCGATACAATCTCGACCAGATCGTGAAGGAGTATGAGGCTGGCAAGTCTGAAGAGTCAGGTGCTGAAGAGCAGATTGAACAGGTCGAGGATGGATCCGCACCAGCAGCCAGTGCAGGCGACTCGGCGGCCAGAGCCAATTCAGGCTCAGTCAGCAAGCCGTTCGCCGACGCCAGCAACAACGGAAGTAACACCGATCAGGAGTCACAGGCTAAAAAGGAGGAGAAGCCCGAACTGGTAACAGCTTCAGCAAAAAGCGACAGCAGTGATACACCAGTTGTCACTGCCATTGCAATACCCGCCGCGACTGTTAGTTCAGACAGTAGCCTCGTTGCTGGCGCCGCCGGCGACAAGTCTGCTACAATCACCATTTTGGATGAGTCCGATACAGCCACTAACTGGAGCAACGATGTGGCCACCAGCAGCACCAATACCGGCGTTGGCGCCTCATCCTCGTCACTGTCGAGTGCCAGCACTCCACCCGCGCCAATATCGGTTGACCGCAAGGAGCCCGACAGCGAAGAGCTATCCACACCCAATCACAGTTCATGTGACGCAGTCGCTGCTGGAGCGAATGCGGCCGTAAGCACAGGTGTGGCCAATGCCAAACGCGACATCTCCGCCGTGGTAGGTCCCCCGTGCCGCTCCAGTAAAAGCATTTCTTATCGCCACTTCATTTCTTGTATCTGTCCACAGACGTCTGCCGAACAGCCCCCAGCCAAAAAAGTAGCACTCTGCGCCAACGTGGATTCCCTCGGGAAGTGAGGGACCTACGCAGCTCGGTGACGTGTTCACATATGATATATATATATATATATATATACATTTAAATATATACCGATACATACATATATAGCAATCTGTTGTGCAGCCGCCTCGACCTGCACTCAGCTGCGACATCCTGCTCGAGCCGAAACCACTGGTTATTAACACTGTGCTGGCTGGTTACTGGCTACTGGCTACCATGCTGTCAGTCTGGGTGTGGGGGGTATTTCTAATGTTTTTTTTATATTATTGAATTGACTACATTTATTTCGTTTTTGGGACGCATTTACTACATAAAAAGCATCACAGCATGACCTAGACCTAAAGCAATTACATTACATTCGTATTCCGAATTACACTGAAATTGATTGGACAGGTGCAGATATGTGCATACTTGGATTGGAGTTGGATGAATGGGGTCGCACACGTAGATAAAACGATGAACAGTTTTTTACAGAAGTTTCAAAGGTCAAAGATGTATTGTTTAATGGCAGAACGGTTAAAATACTTTCCTATAAACTTATAAGTGCTGACTCGGGGCTGCGCAGACCACGAAAACTAACGAGAAGTGCCCAGGGAAGTTACTACAGAATCTGTGTGTAATATTAATATAATTTTAATACGAGTATAAACGAATTACACAAGTGTAAATTATAAACCTTACTGTCACACTTTTTTTTTGAGCTGTAATTAGCATGTAACGAAGCACTTGGCACAGTCTTGACCACATCAACACACAGCAAGACAGCAACATGGATCTATTCCGAAAGAGATGGGACCGCTGGATCCAGTCTTTCCACATATGAGAACGGCAAAGAGATTGCTCGACTTCAACTGCTATTAGATAAATTACAATATAACTGGACAAAATGTATACAAAAGCGACATCCACTTAAGATCATACAAATAAATACGTTAAACTAAATAAAAAAAAGGTATTCTTTTAACAGAGATCTGCGTGGCTCTACTCAAATGTAATGCATTCGAATTGAATTGAGTGAAGTGAAGTGTGTGTTGCGTTTCACAGCGTTCACCATTCAGTTTTACGAGTTGGAATAAACTAGAAAGAACGGCGAACGGTGGGATTCGGTGTCCGCTTCGGTCGATCTGTTATAATCAGCGATTCAGCTTGCTCATAACTTCGAATTTCTCGCCCAAAACGGACTGAACCTCGGCTAAAGTCTCGGTAATTTTCACTGTGTCAGATCTCTCACCATCCACTTGATTTTCTTGTAGAGCGAACGAGAAAGCAAGACAAATTTGCTGGGTTTTTGGCATTCCTTCTGCGCGTGTGCGTACGTTTCCTTACTTTACACTGAACAAAATAAAACTTAGATATGGCAAGAGGACGTTTTGCGAATGTTACTTGTGCCGAATTTTTGCATATAGCCGAGGGCACGCGAACTCATTTCAGAGACATGCGAACGAACCTTGCTCGGTTGTTAGGGATTCGGGGGATTCGGAACTGACTGCAGGCTCGTAATGCTCGATCGTAATGATCGAACGCATTAAAGGGACATATGTGATCCGCACTCTGTGTAGTCGTTCATGGCTACATGGTTTCTTCCTTTCCTTGCTCACTTTCTGGCTATTTTCAAAGCTCCATAGCTGGGGGAAGTGTGCTGGTTGTGGGCACCACCGAAACTTGAACAGCAAGCAGACGCAGTCGTGTCCTGCGCCACTCTGGTGATTTTCCCGCGCACGCGCTCTCCTCCGGCGGCCTTACCCGTTTGGGTGTTGCCAGACCGATACTGCATCCCCGATCGTGTGCATCGCGCCAGCAACGGGTACATTAGGCATGTGCCTTGTAGGTCCATACATTACAGACATCGTCTTCCCACCTGCATCATGCTTTACCTCATCGGCTTTGACCGGATAAGTTTTCCTTGCTTCCACCGTATTCATATTTTCCATTGACAATTTCTTTTTGGTTCTTCTTCTTCTTTCATTTTTGTATTTCCACAAGCTCTATTGGCCGAGACCCTCTCTGGCCACAAACTGCTATGCCGCTTCCGGTTCATATGAGCGAGTGTGCGCTCGATGGCGGCTGTGCAGTCCAGGCGCCTGACCGGTTGACATCTCGAACTCCCCGCCGACTCCAGTGCACTCGGCCACGATGCCGTGCCTGATCGACGGCGAAATTGTTGGTTCACGCCCAAGCGCTGGGATATATTTAAAGAGCATCACAAACTCCATCACAGAGGACTTATGTACCCTACGCATTGCCAGGACGGAGTCCTATCCAAGCATTATCGAGGCGTATTCGAGACAAACCGAGTCCTATCCAAGCCAGACAGAATCGTATCACAGCAGGACAGAAACCATCGTCATCTTTCGACCTGGCCAACGACAACAAGGACTTTGACTATGGCAATCGAGGGAGGGACTACGCGGGCTACTGGATACTCTAGATAGATCGAGGTAATAAATCTATTGAAAAATCATCCTTGCAACGAATCGGGGAAATCTGACTGGCTGGGGTTGTTTGAGTTCTTACCAAAGGATCAAGGATATTTTTCCAATAACAGGAACCTATGGAACGGCCAGATCGGAGCACAGATAACGGAGAAAACAGAATATATATATGACTAGAGAAGATATCCTTGATTCTTGGTCCTTGATACTTCATTTTCATCTGCTCAAGGATGTCACAACGATCACAGAAGCAGCATCCACTTTTAATTTAGTGGAATTCAAAACCGAGATTTATAGATTTTTTGATACCAAGCGAACAGAAATCAGTAGCAAGCTTTAGCGAATTAAACAAAATTTGTTGCATACTTTTGAGGGATTAAAAAAAGGACAAATTATTTTTCGTGGGTGTGAACCAAAAATTCCGCTGTCGATTAGTGGTCCATGCTGCATTGGACGCAACGCCACATAGTCGACTCAGCGACACAGCAGCGGCATCATGGGTATGGCCCGCAGCAGGACAGCCAGTTGCTGCCACTGTCCAGTCAGGAGCACATCCCCAGGACCTCCCGAGAGGACGAAGAGCAACGGTGGCGAGCGGACTGGAAAGGCGGAGAAAATAGCGTGGGACGCAAGGAAGAGGGCCATGGCAGTGACCCAAAGGCCCAGGCGAAAGGCCACAGGCACGGCATCATGGCCCCGTGCGAAGGAGCCGGCGGGGAGTTGGCGATGTCAGCCGGTCAGGCGCCTGGAGTGGACAGCTGCCATCATCAAGCGCATATTCGCTTATATTAACCAGAAGACCAGAAGCCGGGTGAAGCCACTGGTATTTCTGGCCACCGGAGGGGGTGACACGTTAAAATTAAAGCAAAAGTTAAATACAGAAAATAAATAAATAATAACTGAATAACTTTACCTTGGTGGGATAAGAGGAGGGGATCGCGGCTTAGCAGTTTGTGGCCAGAGAGGATCTCGGCCAAAAGAGCTGGAGGGAATAACAAAATAAAAGAACCCATGAAAATAGTCAACGGAAAAGATGAATAGGGGGAAACATGGAAAACATACCCGGTCAAAGCCGATAAGGTAAAGCATGGTGCAGATGCCGGATAATCTTGTGGATGTATGTAACGCCTAGAAGGAATCGTTTCTGGCTACGCATGTCTCTCTCTCTCACACACACTCTTCGTCGTGCAATGTGTACGCCCTCTGGCGGAGGGGAGCCATACTGACTGAGAATCGGGTAGAAATGTAGAGTCGCGGACGTAGCTGCGACTCACAACGTCGAATTCGAGCAAGTTTCGTTCGCATCCTAAAGGGATTCGACACATACTACAGAGGAATCCAACATTATAGCACACACGGAAATGGGTATCTTGCTTGTACAAAAATCCTGTGTACTCGGCACCCACGACTCACACTAAGGCACACACACTAATACATTTTTCCAGGCTGCTTTCTCGTTCTCTTTACCAGAAAATCTATTAGAGAGTGAACGAGAAAAATAGCGAATTGATTCGGATCTGACACAGTAAAAATGACGGGACTCGCTTCATTCGGTCCGTTTTGGGCGAGAGATTCGAAGCTACGAGAAATCTGAATCGCTGATTTTGTCGGACCGAACGAAGCAAGTCCCGAATCTCACCAAATCGATTCTGTTTCCCGCTCATGCAGGGCTCTAGATATATGTACAATGTTCATACCAACTATAAGAAACAATTTGTATTGAAATTAGTCGAGCCGTTTGAGAGGAGTTGACCCACAAAACACCGTAACACTGTTAGATATATTAGATAAATATAAAATAAATGATTTTTTTTTTTAATTGTATTACTTTTATTATTTCCATTGATGGTGTGTCTGGCATAATTAATTAAAAATTACTTTTGTAGTTTTGTTTTGCTGTTGGTTTTTTCCTATTTAAATATACATACAATATATGGTATATGTACTTTAATTGGTTTCGTGTTTGGACTTAGTTAGTATTACAATTTAATTTAACTGTTTTATGAATTGCTTAGCTAAAAAAAAACCCCTTAGTATAACTAAGTCGACACATCTTGATATAGTTCGAAAGCTTCATAGTTTTTTACGATAGCTTGGTTTGGATTCTTCGGGCCTTATCTCCCTTGATCATCGGGGAGAACGAGAACGAGTTGTGTGATAGTAGAGTGGGCTACTGGGGAGGATTTTCGACCTATTACGACCTACTATGTACGTATGCTGCACGAGCGAGTATTCGATATTTAGTATATAGTAGGCAGGCAATTAAAAATCGTTGAAGAATGGAGAATGAAGTTTCAGTTGGAGCACTGATCACTGATCACTGATCGCTGAGTTAGTAGCAGATTCGATCAGACCATACTTGTCTGCCTCGTGTGGAGTGGAACATACTTAATCCTATCGCTAATGTGTATTGCTATAAATATATATATATATATATATATATACATACATATATGTATATATATTTATTCGTGATTTTCGGTTTACTTTTATTCTTAATAATGTCACGCTAAAATCTCAATACACAATTTAAATAAATTCTATGACTAGTTTCTTATTACAGTATATTCAATTTCTATTTGTTTACCTTCCCGTCTGGTTTCGGCTTACTCGCTTTCCTTCTAAGACATTTAGTGCACAAAAAAACAGGATAATATCAACAAGTCTTATAGGTACATCTAGCACGGAGCTAGAAGTGTAACCGAACGATTTGATCGAACTGCGATCTGACCGGTTTGGTTTTCTTTACGGATCTGTACTCTAGAGCTGGGGCGTAGGGCTGAAAGCTACCGACTGCCGCTCTCTCGTATTTATACTATATACATATATACACAGATATATGCATAGATATAGATAGAAGTATTCACGGATGCATGCGTGTGTTGCGGGACACCATTTGACGTACTCGCCCTTAAAACACCGCACATCAACCGCCCGCGACTGGGCGGCTGTGGAGCGATCTTTTAAAAGAAGTCGTCAAAGGTTTTTGATTATGTCTGGTATTGGAGCATTGGTGCCGATAGGTTCGGATGATGCGACGAGTTCATCCGTAGGGCGGATAGACTCTTGTTGTACCACTCATCTTCCGGGGACATGCCTGAAAAAGACGAGAACAAAAAAACACAAAATCATCATCATTTTCAAATTGATTAAATTTACTTCGGTCAGCTTTGTTTGGCAATTGTTACTGGTGTTTTTCCAGGCTTTTCTTTTGTAATGGAAGAACATTTTTTTGCTGCCCAAAGACACCGTGAGAGAGGGTCGATACGGCGGCAGGGCCAGGCCAGGCCAGGCCCGGAAATTTCTTTCAGATGCTAATATCCGGTTAGGCTCTTAGCCCCCATGCTCTTGCCCTGCCATGCAAAAGCAGCAAATTTCCTTGCACATGCTTCTTCGATCTAAATAATCCGGTAAATACTACGATTATGGAAGCGCCATTGTCGAAAGCCTATAATCAAAAATCGCCTCCACAGCGGTAATTCCCTTAGATAACACATTAAGCAGGTGGCGATGGAAGGAGAGAGAGGGAACGGCATCTTCGTGGTTGGATCGTAAACTATTCTTTGAACTCTAAACGAATTCCACTCGAAAGTGGATGTCTCCTGTTGGATGCTCTTTCTAACTGAAAACTGAGCGAAAGAACGCATAGATCATTCTACCGGTCGCAGATGAACAAAGCCAAGTCCAAAGAAAGTTGTGAGATGCTGCCGCGGGGATATATAGATACTGTAAATAGAAGCTTACCCATCGAGTCCTGACGCACGCCAACAGACCCCATGTTTGTGCTATGCGCCATTGAAAATGGTTGCGTCATGCCCGGATACGAAGAGGCGCCCATTTGGAAAAGATCCTGTAATGGATATACACATACGGGATTAGTTTACGTTGTGCTATTTGCCGAATTCCCTTTGTGGCCTACCTGGGGATACCGATTCATGGTATTGTGATGGGGATATGGCTGGTACCCACGCGACACACTGTAGCCCTGAATATTTCGCATCATTCCGTTGCAAGATGGGATTACAGACGGTGCCAGCGCCTTCTGGAGCTGTTTCTCCTGCTTGCGATACTTGGCGCGTCGATTCTGAAACCAAACCTGCGAACGGAAACAAGCAAGAGAAATAAGTAAATTTATATTCAAGTTTTGGTCCCTTTAAGCTGCTCCATCCCAATTTGATGTCTCCCCTGCCCGTTCCTCCCCGTTCCTCCCCGTTTCCGAAAACTCCTTGCAAGAGTCTGTGGTGTGTGTGTGTGTGTGTGTGTGACGGACGATGAAGGAAAAGAAAACGGCGAAGCCAAATGGCAAACACTGAGCCCTCTGTCGCTACGTATGCTTCTGCCTCTGGCTTTGGCAATGGCCCTGGTCCGTCCTGCCTGAGACGACGACGCCAACGTCTTCTGAGTGAAAAAATCTTCTAAATTGAAATTGAAAATAAGTTGACGGTGCTATTTGCTTCGAGGGTCGGGTCCCGCCCCAGCTCCGGCAGCTGGCAGGGGGGACAACTCCTCTGCTCAGATATTAAAAAAGGTGGCCCTCATCCTGACGTCGCCCGTGTACCCTGTCCTCATCTGGGATGGCAAAAAGAAATTGCTAAGATGAAAGCTATGCTCTGCCCTAGACAACAGCCAGTGCTGCCACGGAGGGTGCACGAGGGCCCGGGGTTCGGCGGCGGCGTGAAAAAATGTCCGACATTTTGAAAGATGCTCAGCTTGCTTTGAGTTACTTACATAGGAAGACAAGAGGTTACGGCGCGGAAGGGAGGAGGCACAAGTAATGGCGGCACTGAGGGTGGCGTCTGAGGCGCGGGGGTGGAATGTTAATGGGGACTGGAGGGCATCACGGTGGTAACTGTTTCTTTCTTTTCGCCGCTTCGTCGTTTCGTCGTTTCGTCGTTTCGCCGTTTCGTCTTCTGGTTTTTTCTTTCATTTATTATTATTATTTTTTTCATTATTATTATCTTTGTCCATGGCTATGTATACGCACTATATAAAAATTAATAAGTATATATGTGCATAAATACATACATATGTATGTACATACATACATATGTTTCTGGGTGCGTGTGCGTGTGCGTGTGTTAGCTTAAATGAAAAATACAAGCATGGTCATGTCCTGGCCTGGCCCTGCTTGCTTTCAGGGGTTGTTTTCAGTGCCCACTTTATTGCTCGTTCGGTTTCATTTGGTTGGCTGCCAGCATAAAAATTCCAGTCAGAGCATCATCGTATGTACATATGCTTGTTTGCTTGCCTGTGCCTGTGCTGGTGCCCGTGCCTGTACTGGTGCTGGTGCTGGTGCCTCATGTTGTGTGTATGCGAATGTGCTGCTGCTAAATAATGCTCTTAACCATGAGCCATGGATGGCGCTGCCAGCTGCTCCTCCTGCCACCTCGAGTTCTGTTCGAGGGATGAAAAGCGTTGTCTGAATGTTTCTCTGTCTCTGTCCGAATGTCTATATGCCATTCAATTTCTAGCTGCTTGTGTGTGTGTGGGCGGAGTAACTCAATTAAGGATCCATTTGATGGCACACATATATGTACGCATGTATGTATGTACATAGCACATACACATACACATGAATAGATACACATACATATTCTTACATATTTACGAGTATTTGCTACGAAATAGCAAAAACGTTATCCAATATTTTTTTTCCATGGCCCGTGAGTTCTCATTTCTTAAGGCTTTAACTCATCTGGCTTAAAGCCGTGACCCCCCCCCCCCCCCCCCCCGGTGGGCCGACCAGCCAATCAAGAAAATTTACAACAAGCACGCAAACCCATAACTCCGAAGGAAATGCGACAATTAAATTTATTGCTATTTTTATTAGCATTATTATTTATTGGAATTTTTGTTTTATTCTTTCAGACGTAGAGACGTTTCCAAAGCCTTTCTGACACTTTTGGATATAAGTTTGGAGTTTGCGACTCTTTGAAGAGCTATTCCATGGCGATTTTCCAAAGAAATATAGTTTTATCCGTTAAATTAATCAATTTTCTATAAAATTTGATACTTTTTTTTTAGCGTAATTTTATTGCCTTATTTTCTATAATTTTTTAAACGAAAACAGGTCTAGAAGGGGAACAAAATTATTGGAACACTTAGTATATGATTACCACTTTTTAATGAGCCATGGTCATATAATTTGGCCATCTGGTCATTTGCTTTGGACAAGGATTCACACCTATGTACATATGTAGCTCCAGTTCTGTGGATCTAGGCAATATTTAGTCTCAAAATACCTCCTTTGGTGACCAGAGAGGTCGCCTTTGAGTGGTATCTCAAAAGAATATCATTCTGCATTTCCCAAATGGAGCCTCAGTCGTAGCATCATTCAATGTCTACACGTAATGCTGTGCCCACATCTAACTCCGGCACATACAATATATGGCATCACAACAAATCACGACATATGCTGCCAGTAAAGCTATTAAGGCCTGTTGTGGTACCGTCCACAATAATATAAAAAAAAAATATATATATCCAAGTGGTAGCTCCTCCGCATGCAAAAAGCACGCAAACCACTTCGAGGATCGATTAAGATTTGTTTCAAGTGTTAACAGAATTTCCATCACATCCAATTGCCCCAAGAGAAGAGCGATATTCATATGTTTCTTCTAAAAACTTGACCATATTATTCGCAATGGTGGCTACGTTTACCGAGCCCATTGAAAGATGAGCGATCTACTCTGAGCCCGGTTCAGATATTTTCGAGATAAAATACATTCTGAGACAGGTCATGAATAGAGTTTTGTCCCTAAGACCTACAAAAAGATAACCATCATAGGTTTACTTCGATGGCGAACTATTTGGCTATTCGGGATATGATATTTCAAACCATCTTCAGGCGGAACCCCAAGAAGAAGTGATAGAACTTTGACTTTTTCCACATTTTTACAGCCGTTAATCAAAATGTGGTGTAACACCCAGAATGAAGCGTTTCCAACATCATAAGGTATATATATTCTTGATCAGCATCAATAGCCGAGACGATATAACCATGTCCATCTGTCCGTCCGCCCGTCCGTCTTGATGAGCGCCTAGATCTTTGAACCTATAAACGCTAGAGAAACCAAATTTTGTATCCAGATCCCTTTGATGTCACGCTCTTGGCTACTGCCTTCAAAATTCCGCGCACCACTAAGGACGAGAATCTTTTCAAGATACTTAGAGAATAATCCTATCTACTAGATTACCGAATCTGAATAAATCAATTTGCGAAGACTCGTTTACTGATTATCTCTCTCACTCACGCTCACACACTCTTCCTACACTACGATTATCCCCAAACTTTTCGAGTACCGGGTATAAAAACCTTCTGGGTAAAACCAGGTAATGTATACGAGACAATACAGCAGGGAACGGGCAGAAATACTTTATACTTTGAAAGTATGTATACTTTTCTTCAGTTTGCTGGGAGCGTGAGCCCCGCGGAGACGGTCACCAAAACTTGAATAACCCAAAATAACCCGAAATATTTCTCTATATTTTGTATTGGTTTCAAGAATATTAGCTGTTCAATTTATATGCACAGTCAATAATTATGAAGTAGATGAATTAGTGAGCCGCCGGATAAAGCCTTGTTTTTCGAAAACTCGCTGCAAATAATCTAATTTGTCGTTGTTGCATTTAGCAAAGCTTTTGTTGAATAATTAAATAATTCAAACGTTTGAAAACGTGAAGCTTATAATATTTATAACTAAATATTTATTTCAATATTTATATATATACTCGTATGTATGTATGGTTGTACAATCGCCAAAAAAGTGGTTAAAAGGGAACAAATTAAATCCATGTCTCTGGAAAAGTACCTATGAATGGAGTTACTGAGCTAAAGGATGCTTGGAGACTACGTTTTTTTTTCGAAACCGATTGGCATGCAGCCTGTACGGTATGAGGCCTTGGGTGGCCGATATTTCGAAAAAAAAACCTTACCTTTCAGGCAAAAAAATTTGTTTAAGTAGAAGCGTTTTTTCGAGATGCCTCCATAAAGATTCGCTGGATCCGATGAATCGGAAAGCGTGTTAAAAAATACTCATTTTAATGCTCTTGGGAGATTCGTCGTGAATTGGTACATATATCTATATTTTTTTAGTTTTTGTTTGATATTCCTATATCTATCTATCTACGAATCTCTCGCACACGAGGTTTTCCTCAATACACCTTCCTTTAAATTCTCGATAGAGACGACCTGGTACAGGCAGACTTTAGTTTTTCTTGGAAGCATTAAAAAACGTTTCGATACTAAGTATTGACTGTTGCAAAAAGTTCAAGAAATTGATAATTGGATAGATCCATAATTTTACTTTTAATTCTTGAAAGTTTTTACTTGCGCTTTTTTGGAACTTTGCGGACTCCAATCCTCTGAGCAGCTCTATGTAAAAATCGAGTGAATAGAATGGAAGCTGGTTCCCGACAGAACTCTCAGGGCAAATAGTAAGCCCCCAGAAATACAAGGATACTTAGCTTATAAGTGGATTAACTTAACATTGAAAATGGTTTTATTTTTACTTTTTTTTTTATATTTTCCAGGACGATGAATACCCTTACCCATTTGAAACTTTCCGACCTATATTCGCAGCACTTTTAGCACTTAAAAGGCACCACTAAAACAAAATTTGATCAGCCTCTTTGGGTGTGAAAAAACGACTACATTTTGTTTGTATAGCTGTCATGATTCGATATTTTGGGTGCTCAAAAAATCTTTTCAGTGGGGCGCTGTGTGAGAGGTCGAATTTCCGTATTCGTAGGCTGGTTTTCCTCAATTCTCCAAAGTCCCCCTGCCAAAAACTGGTTATACAGCACCTAGAAATTATCTTTTTACTTTTCTCTATAGAAAAAGTTACAAATGTTCATTGGTTGGTTTGGAATAGCTCTTTGCGAAAATTTGTTTGGCCTTTGACTCGTTTTAGCCGTCGATTGCAGGCTCTTATTCATACATATATTGTATCCATAATTCTCCATCGGCTACGATATCAAAGACTTGACTTGAGCAACAATGGCTGTATTTCATCTCCATCATCATCTTGATTGCACTAATTGACAAGAGCTGATTTTTGGGCGAAATAAAAAGATGCCTCTACCGTACTCCTTGTGATGTTCTTTGCCACAATTGAATCTTTTTACCAGCTTGCAGTTTGCAGTGGCCATGCATGGCGATTCAAGGCAGATCCAAGTATTCTCGTCTTGAAAATCCACATCAAAAATTTTAGAAAAATAAGCAAATTTTCATGCGCTAATCTCAGTTTTTTCCTGAGATTAATTTTTCGTTTAACGTCAAACAAAAAAAAAGCCATAAGCATGATTTCATCAAAAAATATTAGAAAAAACATTAGAAACATTTTTTCTAATTGATTTGGATTTCATTTCATTTTTAATGAATAATGGTTTTTTTTTTCTGTATGGTTATGAATATTTTGAGGAATTACAAAAAATTGTATTTTTGGTTTGTTCTTTTTTGTAAGGTCAACTTGGGCTTTTCCATATAACTTGATTATTCTTCATCTAGTTTTGAAGAACTTTGCAATTCTGAAAAGCTAATGAATGCCCTGTACAGGGTGCGCCATCTTTTTATTAAAAAACCGAATAACTTTGACAATTATGAACCGATTGAATTGAGTGAAACTTTAACCATGCATCGCTTTACACCGAACCAAATTAAAAATAGTCTTTCACTTGCGGGAATACGTGAAAAAATATCTAAACGGTTATTGGTCTCAAAAAAAAAAAAAAACAAACGCTGTACATCAAACAATTCTGGTTCTGGTTCTACAATGAAAATTCCCTAAACGTCTGGCAACAAAAAATGGAAGATATTGATTGGACCCAGACCTCCAGATTTGATGCCTCCGGGCTTCTTTTTTTGGTATCTATGGGGGTAAAGCTTACGCCAGCAAGCCTCATACCATTGAGGAGCTCGAACAAGTATTGGAAAACCCAGCAAAAAGGGCATGTTTTATTGTGTCCAATAAAGGTGGGCACTTGATTGATCTTGTGCTTAAAAACTATTCTAAATACATTTCAAAGAACCAAGCCATATAAAAATACCTCGTATTTTAAAATCGATTGGGTTTTTTCAAAGCTATTCGATGTTTACATGGCGGACCGTGGCGCATTTTGTATCTCAAGTTTACCGTCGGGAAAATACAAATTTAATTTTTTTGTTTTTTTGGAAATAAATTAGATTTTGTTTTATATTTGTTTGTATGTGTACGTTAATTAGGCTTCGGTTAAGGTATCGTTTAAATGGTTACGCGGCATCAGACAATCAGGCGAGCACAACTTCAGGTGGACATCCACAAAAGTTTCCACATTTTCTCTCCATCATTTACCCAGCGTTTTTTAATTTCTTACAAAATATTATTCTTTTAATGGCTTTGTACCTACAAAATGCGAATGTGTATTATGTTGTCGCGATTCCAATGGCTAGATTTTTTTCTATCAATAAAGTTTTGAGCACTAAAAAAATCCTTTTTTTACCCATTAAAAAAAAAAAAATGGAGCGGAACTGCATCCGATCTGGATCTCTTGGTTTTCTGGTATTTTTCAAATTTTTGATGACACAAATTTTCGTTTTTTGTGGGGGCGGATTCAGTGATTCCTTGAGATATCACAGGAGTCTGGATACAAAATTTGGTTGTTCTATCTTTCGATAGACATGGCTCAATCGACTCGGCTGTTGATGCTGTTCAAGAATATATATCCTTTTTGGGGTCGGAAACGCCTACTTCCGTCGGTGTTTCACACATCGACTTTCACCACAAGTCGAATATATACCGTGTATACTCTTCGATTACCGGGTATACAAAATGCAACATAATATTTAAATATACATATATTTAAAATATTCTTCAACCATGATTCAATACCTTTCATATGATACATCACATGCTCTTCAAGGACACATAGTAATAAGGATCCAACTAAATTCCATTTTTCTTCTCTATTCTGTTGTAGTATTCATGGGCAAACAAAATACCATAAGATACTAAATACATACTAAATAAAAATACTACAAAATTATCTCAAATATGTATTTTGCTAGTTTTTGCGACTTTTTCGACTTTTCGGGGGTTTTATTTTAAATTTTTCTTTAAAACATTCAAAAATGTCCACTATAATTTCACATATTTAGTATTTAGATATTTAGTTCTTACTCCACAGACTACAAGGACGTTGCATTGCATAAGTTTAACTTAATTTTAGAAAGCACAAATCAACGTTTGACTAATGATTCAAATGCCGCATTTTGTCGTTAAGCACCGTTTTATTCCCCGATTTATGGCAGAAAAGCAGGAGCACTTTTATATTTAATAACTTGCAAAATGAACTCTAAAAACTTTATATATTAGCCCGAAAATGTTATACCTGCACAATTCGCAGAGTTTTTTGTAATTTTGAAACCCAAACTCAAAAACCACTTCTGTTTTTTAAAACGTATACAATATTTTTAGTAATTGTTTTGTAATTTTCTTTTGGGAATATAGGGTAATTATGTAAATTACTATCTAACTAGAATAATTTGTTTTTGTTTTCAAAATTCGACTTTTTCGTTCGTTTTTTAACCTTATTTTTGCATGAAAAAAACGTAAAACCAGAGCGGAGATGCGCAATGTATTAAGGTGGTCGCTTTTTGATCAAATCTAGACGAAAAGTTGTGACCTTTTATTTGAAGATATCGTCTAAAGAAAAATGTGGTTTAAATAGCTTTAGAATTGAGAGATTCTCTAGCATGCTGATCTAGAATATTTATACTCGTACTTTATGGAGATGTCCCGAAATTCTGTCCAATTTTAGAATGGAGGGGATAAGAAAAGGCTCAGATACAATGGTTCCCATGATCCATTCCTCCTGACTCCCGGCTTCAAAAACATAACTTCTTTTATTCCCTTATCACGTAGCTCGCACTCGTCTTGAAAGTGGAACACAGTTATACAAAATAACAAGCAAATTCGAGTGTGTTTGGTGGAGAGGGTATTTGTTAGCATTCAGTGAATTTTTGCAATTGAGAAACAATTTTGGTTGACAGATTTTCCGGGCAGATGTGCTAAGTAACGCCCTTTCATCTCCACCAAATGGAGTGGTCCCTGTCGGGCCACCCTCCTCCTGGCCGGCACAAGTCCAATTTCAGCAGGCGAGACGACCCCTGGGCAGGCCAGACCGGGCCAGACCGGGCCAGAATGAGCATCAAATTTTTCTACGATGTAAAATTTGTCGGCCTCTGCGACATCTACGAAAAGCATGATGTACCCGTAGATACGGACTCTGTTAGTGTCTCTGCTCTTGTTGTTGCAGCGTGCTAAGTGAGTGCCAAAGTTAAGTTGTAAGCGACGTCGAGAACTAGTCAAATTACCAGCAGCTCTGGCCGAGGGGAGAGGCCATGGGCACGGCTCGAGGGCTCGAGGGCGGGGAACTAAGACGTCAAGGAGTAGGCGAGGGGAGTGGAGTGTGTATTATCGCGCTGCGGTCGCGCCCGGCACGAGGGTTGCACCGACTCGTTCCAGTGTAAATATTTGAACATTTGTAGAAAAATATGGTTTACGAGTTGTTAATAGGCACACGGGGTCTGTGTCTGTGTCTGTGCCTGTGCCTGTGTCTGGGTCCGGAATCAGGCCGCTGCCTGTCATTTGATCGTGAACAGTTGTTTGGAACCGGAGAAGGGGCAGGGGTAGCGGCAACGGGCAATGGATAGACTCAGATACAGATTACGATTCCCAAGTCCATCTGTATATAAATTTGTCATCAGTTTTTTATTACACACAGCTCTCGTAAGATACGACCATATGCATTGGCATAATTTCAAAAGATCCCCCCTTCTACGCTTTAAGTCGTACCCAAAGATGTTCCTCAGTATTCAGATCTTGCTTTTGATTTTTTAGTAATCAGGTTTGATCCATATTTACCAACTTTCTGATAGATTGTTTTTCATGAATTATTAAAATTACTTTAAAAATTACTAATTTTTAAAAATTACAAAAAAAAAGAGCCCACACCATGAAAAATCAAACGTAATTATTGTAAAGATCAATTCAAATAAAAGCCCGTAAAAAGGAAAACTGTAATTTGCAAAACCTTTTTGATTCCTTCTTGAGTGATAAAACATTCTTTGATGAATTTTACATGTACATTTTAGATGACTAAAAGAACATCCTGTTTTTCAACAGTAATTGAAATTTTAGAAGTTAATTTTCTACTTTGCAAACTGCAAAAGGAATGGAGATTTTATCTTTGAGAAGTTTGATATGTTTCCAGTCCGAACGCGACGATATACGTTTGAGACGAACGAGCAGGGCTGCTGCAACCCTCCGTGGAAATTCTCCGGACAAACCCACCCCGTCAGACATGGGCAGCCGGGACCGCCGCACTCACTTATTTCGCAGTCATGATAAAACTATAAATTAATTATTGGCGCGGCGCACTTGAAAGCGCAGCAGAGGCAAGCCAAACCGAGCCGCTTCCAGCGGGGAGAAGGCCTGGCCGAGTCGCGGAGAACCCCAGGGGCATTCGACGAGCACTTTAGAGCAACACCAGGCGTGGGCCGAGTTCAGTCGGTTGGAATAATCGCACGCTAATCGCAGACCAAGATCAGCCTCATCAGCCTCAGCGTCATCTTCGTTGGGGGCTTGATTCTCAAACCGATTCTAATTCAGATTTCGACTCAACAACTGTTGAAATAGGAGTAATTGGCTTTGTTCAAGGAGCGGGCAGTGGGCAGAGGGGAGAGGGCAGAGGGGAGAGGGCAGAGGGAGCTCTCATTGATGATGCCATGTTATTACTCACTTGAATCCGTGCCTCGTTCAGCTTTGTTGTGCGCGCGAGCTCCTCGCGACAGTAAATGTCCGGATAATGCGATTTGGCGAATGCAGCTTCCAGTTCCGCTAATTGTTCCTGAAAGTAAAGTTTATAATTAGCCAATTTTGTTGTGCGGTTCATCGTCATTTTCCTGTTCTATCTAACTATCTTTTCGGTGCAGGGCTTGCATTTAAGACGGCCCGATTTCGGGCACTCCAGTAAAATTTAGTAAGCCTCGAAGAGCTGCCCAAGGATGCCCTTTTGCTAATGGGGCTATGACATTCAACTTTGCCGACATTCGCAAGGACGGAGATGGCTTGAGAGACCCAACGATAAATAAGTGTTGGTACTCGACTTTAGGGCTATCGAAGAGCCGATGTTTTCCAACACGTACAGCCAGTGGAGTCACCAAAATTGGATCTGCTTGCTAGGCTATTTCTGTTTTTCAGTCTAGTGCCATACGGCCATGAGCGGGTCTACACTTTCTCGGGCTGTTGCACCATTCTTTCCATACAAAAGTTTGATAAATCTTTCGTATCACTACCTGGCATATTACACTATGCAACAAAATATAGAGTTTTTCTATAGACTTGGGCCTCAAAAAGTTTATTTTCTGCATTATGATTTTTTAGGTGAATGATTTTTTTCCTACGTCTTTTTTATTCGATAGGTAAAGGCTCATTAACTAGTCGTCACTTAGTCTACGTTCCTCTTCAAACTACCAAAAAATTAGCAAAACAAAAAATGAAAGGGACTTGGAATTTAGCGTACATATGAGGTTGCACCCAAAGCGTACTCATTTCTTTCCACCTATTCCTATCTATAGCTATGCCTCAGTTTCAGTATGGTTCAGACTTGCTTGGGTTTCTTGCAGAACTTAAGGCAAACATTCGTTCCGAAATCAACGCTATAACACCAGAGATAACACCAATTTGTAATTACTATAAGACGCGGCCACTTAATTGATATTGTTTTCAAAACATTGTCCAAATTATTGTAAAGAACCAAACCAAATAAAAATACCTCACTTATGGAAATCGGTTGTTTTTTTTTTAAGTTATTCGATGTTTCCATACCGTACTAAAAGATGGCGCACCCTGTATATTTTTGTAATTTATTAAAACTAAACGAATTCATTCAATTGACAAATAATCTCATTAGCTTTGATATGAAAACCTATCAACGTAAGCGAAAGTTTACTTTTTCGGTATTTTTTTGGGATTTTTATAGTCATGTTTTCCTTTTGTATTATCTTCCCTAACAAAGATGATTCTTGATAAAAGTTTTTCCTCAAAGAGTCTCCGCATATCGAACTATCTAAAAAAAAATCCCAATCTCGGCTAAAGGAATATTTTTTAACTTTTTGCCTCCGCGGACTTACATAAAGCCACAATAGAAATGCCCCTATGTGCGATACATCTACACGAATCTAATATACTCCTGTAATATACTCTTTAAGTGCTGTTGTGGATACTTGCGGCCCCGTACTCCCATACTTGTAAGCCCTCTTCTCTGTTTCAGAGTGGCTATAAGCCATGATCCGCTACATAAACAGGACTAGTTGGCAGGAACGAAGAAAAGTCTGTATGCTTTTACTGAAGCTTGACCTTCCTTTTGTTGTTGCTCTTGTTGCTGCAGCTTCAAAGTTTTAACTACAAGAGTAACCTTAACGAAATCTAATTAAAATGTATCATTTAGGTAGGACGGAAAGGAGGGGCGCGATGGGAATGGGAAGGGGCATGGGGCATGGGGCATGGGGCAGTGGGAAAAGGGCCTTCAGTGAATTCTGACCTGTGTGAATGTGGTTCGATGTCTCCGCCTGGCTGGCGTAGGGCAGGATGCTGTGGTTGGGGTGTGGCCAGCGTGCTGACTCAGCGTTGATAATCCGCTTCCGGGCGACGTGATGCCGGCGGAAACTGTCGAGAGGCCGCTGTTGGGTTCCGGCTTAAGCTTCTTGAATGCACCTTCCGCTGCAAAATAGCACACACGTAAAGGAGAACGCGTTAATTAATGTTAGAAAATGTCAACTAAATCCAGAGACCCATCCAGAGTCCGGTGCCCGAATGTGGGGAGCGAAATCTGCTTAATATGCGTAAAAAGTTAAACCTCAGGGCGGCGCCCAGCGACTCCACCTGACCCCAGACCCCTGACCCCTGACCCCTGACACCTGAACCCCTGACCTCTGACCCAAAAATGTTTCATAATTGCCAAAGACAACAGCAACCGCGATGCGGCCACAAGATGCCGACGCTGTCGCCGCCGGTCGACGACGGCAAAGGCAAAAAGGTGAAAAGTTTTGAGCTTGGGTCACGTCGTTCACGTTGGCGCCGTTGACGATGGTGACGATGATGCCAGTCGCATGAATATGCAATATGGGATAATTTATGCAAATGTCTAGCACATTAATATAGGTAGAAGTCCCGGGTCCCAGGTCCCAGCTCTCAGAGCTCCGGCCGGGATGAGGCTTGATCTGCTGGCCACTTCAGCTGAAGTCGGTTACCTGCCGCCTGGCCAGGGCCCAAAAAGGCGTTAAACAACCTGCAAACGTCACAGTAGGGACACAGGGCCTTGGACACTGGACGGAGCACGGAGGACGGGGAACGCAGACCCTGACCTGTTGCTTTTGGCGTTTAATTGGCTCGCTTAGCTCGTCAACAAAATGCAAACTATGTAGAACATTTTGAATGCCGTCTCACTAATTAAATCATATACAATCTCCACCGATACCTCGGACCACACCGCCAATACCGTCATTTATGCTGTGTCGCCGGCTAATGCAATTGACCTTGTTGGGGCGTGCCGGGATGAGGTCCAACTTAATCTGGCCTGGTTGTTGTTGCCCATCAACCAGGGTCAAACGATCTCAAATCCAGATCCAGATGCAGATAGCCTGATGCACATATGGGTCATAGATTTGACAGATAAACAAATGGATGCATCCATTATTGGGCTACAGTAAAAAAAAGGATAAGGTGCATGCCGAATGTACAGATATACTATCCGTCTGCATGGATAGATACCAGAATCTCGGATACCATTATATCTGGAACAACCTGCTTCTAAGACTTCTTTTTTCGTTTTTTTTTAGAGCCTTTCCATCGCCGAGATTCAAGGAAACCAAAATCAATTGAAAATGTTAAAGATATATGGTATTTTTAAGAACATCTATACATATGTATATTCGTGGGATGCGCCTGAAGTTCAATTTAAGGCTAGCTTTTCAAATTTTCCGAGCATTCGTTTCCATGAAAGTTTCTATGAAAAGGTTGCCCAGTCTTGAAACGGCTGAAACCGTTCCCTAAGTATGTAATTAGGGACCGCCAAGTTCAGGTAGAGTGCTCTAATATATATACCCTGTAACCCGCACTTGACTCTAAAAAAATCACCAACTAGTGTCTAGTCTAGGCTAAAAATGCTTTCAATCAGGTGGGCTCCAGTTTTTACTTACTTTTGGGTATACTTTTTCAAATAAAACTTTCCGTTTTCACTTTTAGGTGCTCCCGTTTACGTAACTATTTGTCATCGATATGTATCCGATGTATCAATAACCAAATCGGGCCATGACAGCTGTTAGCACGAAAACGTAAAGTGTTGTTGCATTGCCCAATTATTTCAAAGCAAAATTTGGTACTGGTGTCAAAAAATACTAATGCAATCCATTAATCATATAATTTGTATTCTTTTGCAATTTGGATTTGGTTTGTGGCATTAAATGCCGTTTACTTTGTATTTTGGCAAGAACAAAATTTCCGTTCTAAAACGTGGGTACCAATTTTTGCGTTTTCAAAAGTAGAACTGAATTTTTCTGTGAAAGTGAACACCGGAGCCTATTTGAATATATATTTTTGAATACTTTCTTTAGTAAAAAATTGTAAATGTTTAAACATTCCTCTTTCTAGCGACACGACAGACCTCATCGGAATTTCGTCCCCAATTTTCTGCAATTGCTAAAAATCATGTTTATAGGCTATTGAATTTTCCCAGCTTGAATGGTACTCCAATGGATTCTTATCCGGAACCGGATAGAGACCGGTTTATCCAGCGGAAAATTGCATGCTTTTGAGAAAAAGACATGCAATGGATATGGCTCCCAAAACAATAACAGACTTCGTACCTCTCAATTGCTCTATAACTAGAATGTTTACCGTGCAACCTAATTTTATCTGATCTGTGGTTTCTCTACAGCAGGAACAGCTTTCTGTTACTTTCAGCTTACCAGGCACTAAAGATTCAAACTGATTTTTTCCTGCGAAACTCTTTGTAACCCCCAATGGGACGGGGGATACTCTTTTTTGTAAGCTTTCAACCCAAGCTCTTTTGGACTTGTGGCTCACTTTAAAAGAATAAATGTCTGACTGAGTATCTATGCACAGTCCAAGCAGCCCACATACCAAAAGAATGAAATTTGGAGTGCAGCTTAGAACGCGACCCAAAAACAAAATATATAAACTTCAAGAGAGTAATACTAAATTGGTCAGATGCTTAAAACGAATAGAGGAAGGTCTCATCTCCGACCTAATAAAGTAAACAGAACATATGTATGTATATATTTAGCTTTGTTCATGAAATTATAAACGTTTTCTACAATGTACTTGATAAACTTTTCGAGACTTAAGTTCAGCTTTCTTGTCCGATCAGATCTGGAAAGCTCCCAAGGCTCACCAGAGAGGTATTCAGTCTAAAAAAATATGTAAAATCAAGACTTTATACAAAATTTCAAGCAGGATCCTGGCGGTGTTCCCGGCGGTCTACTCTACTGCCTTGTCTTCAGATCTGAAAGTAATCGTTTACAGTTCCTCTCCATAAGAAAGGCAGCAAGTCTGACGCAAAGAATTATAGAGGTATTTCTAATATGTATTTTGGAGAAGGTTTTAACTCCGCAACTGCAACATCTCTACAAATCACATATATCTCCAGCTCAGACTGGACTTATAAGGCTATCACAACTACCTCAAATTTATTAGAGCTCACCCATTTCATCGTCAAAGGCTTTCAATGGAACTCACAGACGGATTTTATGTACACCGACTTCAATAAAGCATTCCACTCTGTAAACCACTTCCTTTTAGCACATAAACTTGACCTTTTGAGGTTTTCGCCCAACCTCCTGAGAAGGACAGAAAAAGAGTCCCTCTCCCTCTCCTCAGCAGTAAAGGTACCACAGGGCAGCCATCTAGGCCCCACACTCTTCACACTCCTAATTAATGACCTGCCCTTGGTACTCACAAACTCTCGACTCCCTCATGTATGCGGATGATGTTAAGCTCTGTGTTCAGTATCAGGGTATTTCACTGCAATATCGCTTGCTTGCTCGCCCCTTGTTGGCTCCTTATACCCTTTACCTTGGTTGATGATCTCAGTGTTTTACTAGACGCCAAGTAAAAGTTTTCTGAACACATTTCTACCCCGGTAAATAAGGCCAGGGGCGTGCTTGTGTTTATAAAGAGGTGGCCAAAGGTATTCGATGACCCCTATATAACAAATACTCTCTACTCATTTCCAGTTTGCACCGTTTTGGAATACGACTCTTGTGCATGGTGCCCTCAGTACAAAGCACACAAGGATCGTCTAGAATCAGTCTAGAAAAACTTTTTGGCTTTGCGGGGCCTCAACTGGGAAGCGGGTGCGAGAATGCCATCTTACCCTAGTAGATTGCCTTTAATATGTTTTACAATTCCTATTAGAAACCCTAGAAACTATAGACCGTTGTGCCTTCCGTTTTGTAGGCCAAAGTATTCGTTGCACGATCCGCTTAGGGTCTTCTGATCGGATTATAATTGTGAAAAGTGAGACGCTGCCTTTTTACAGTACTTATAGTTCTCGTCTCTTATTATTTTATGCTAATGATTTTTCTTTAAATGGGACTAGAGATGGGCGCGGTCCGGGCCGGGCTTAGTGCGTAAGCTAAAAGCCCGAAAGACCATTGGGTCCGAAAAGGCCCGAATAGGATCATTACATCACTATGCCAGAGCGAGACAAGTAAACAAGACGACTTCAAAACAATATAATAGACGTCGAAATAAATTTACCCACTCCTATGAATCTTCCAGCGATACTCAAATTTTAAATGTTTGGAAAAATGCTAACTCTAAACTTTTACAAATTTTTGGGACGAAAAATGTTAGGGGACAAACGAGACATTCCCAATGATAGGTAAGCCCGGCTCTAATTTTGATACAATTATATTCCAATATAAGAATATCTTAATGGATTTTTCTCGTTTATTTTTAAGCAGTCAATAATTTTTTGACGGGCCGTGTCCTTTGCTAAATATTATATATTATATCCGGGCAGGGCCGGGCCTATAAAAAGAGGCCCGTGTGCATCTTTAGTCGGGACTGGAACAGAATACGCTAATTATATTGTAGTATTCAGCCGAAGGCCTCAGCAGCCACGTCTCAAAACCTGTGTTGGCCTGCATTTTGCAAATATTAGCTAACTTTCTCAAATAATACAAAAATATATTGGTGTTATCTGCGATGGTCACGAAATCAAAAACAGAAAAAACCTTTACACGCGAAGCTCGAGTTGAGCACGTAGATATTTTGGCGCGAATTTTGATTTAAATTTTGGAGGAAATGCACAGCCCTGCGCTGATTTATAAATCGAACAGATTTAAAGAATTGCGAGCAAAAGCAGTCAAAAAAATAAACAAAAACATAATAAATGAATCCATAGCCATCCTACACAGCCCGAGGAAAAGGTGATTCACAAGGCAATTAACACAGACAACACAGAACAAAGTTAAGTAAATAAACAAGCAATAGATCCATGACTTTTTTTTAATTTCAGCGCCTCTAAATCCATTACAGATCAATTACTGCTAGTCATCACTTATGTCCTAGGACCTCTTCACAATAGTGCCATGAATTCTGCTTTCAGCGGCGGGTCAGGGTCATCGCTGTAGTCATCGGAGGTGGTGACGCAGTCATCGATGTGTCATCTGGTGATACGTGAGTACGAATGATACATGAGTACCTACTCAATGAGTGAGCAAGTAGATGTTCCTTCTGGCTATCATTCTCTACCATTTCGCGCTTTTGGTTTTGTCGTATCTTCAAAATTGTGGATGCCACAGATTTGCGTCCTTGTGTGGGAGCGGAAGGAGGAAACAAACTTGATTCGGTGTAATATCACAAGAGTGTGGATACAAATTTGGTTGCTCTAGCTCCTATAGTCTCTGAGAACGTGACGAACAGACAGACATGGCTATATCCACTCGGCTATTGATGCTGATCAAGAATATATATACTTTATGGCGTCGGAAAAGCTTCCTTCTGGGCGTTACACAAGTCCAAAACTCACCATACATCTAATATACCCGTATCCCCATGCAATTCGTTTCTCTTCGCTTAAACGTTGTGCAAATGAGTCTTCCGGGAGGGCACCCATTCACTTAAACTCTATCTGGGAAGCACTATATTTCACTCAATTAGTTTCGAAAATGATTGACTTTGAACTCTTTGAATGCAAGGCATAAAAAAGAGAAAGGGAATAAGGAATCCACGGGGAAACTTTCGAAAACAGCAGGACAACAATAATGTGAATTTTGAACAGTACTTGACAGTAAAGCAACGGATGCTCAAATGGTAAACCATGACGTCATGGTTCGTCGCTATTATCTGTTAAGGTCCGTGGAGTTCCACAGGGAACTCCGAAATCGGTCCCATCCCAGATAGTTTCAATTTACAGCTAAATGTGTGTAAGAATTCATGCTCTCTCTATAAAAATAAAGGTAAAGAGGGGAACCACGACCTCTAGTCATGTTCTAAGTATTGGAACACTCTGTTTATCATCTTTCCACCCAATGACCACCCAATATTTTGTCTGTTTCCATTTTCCGCTACAGCTGTCCCTCTCTTTCGCTTCTTACGCCTCCAACAGATGGCACACACTGCATGAGGAAGACTGAGAGAGAAAGGGTAAGCGCGTAGCCACTGCAAATTGATTTTTTTTCTTCTGGCTATAACAATGATCTGATATGATCCAGATCGCCTATCGCCAGTCTAGTATCTATGGTCATTCTTTATGATTTTGCGTTTACGCTTTCTTAGTATCTTTATATGTTGTGAATGACACAGATTTTCGACGTTATGGGGGGTGGGGCGAAATTTGTAAATACACTTGTAACCGTGTGATATCAGCGGAGTTTGGAAACAAGATTTGGTTGTTCTAGCTCTGCTGGTCTCTGAGGTCTTGGGGCACATCGAGACGGATAGACGCATGGGTCAGTAACGGCTCCTAATATACTCGTATGTATCCCTGGGCTCTTCGAGTACCGGGTGTAGTTAGACCCGACAGCCTTGGAAGTCAAGCTCAACAACTATCGCATCTATCGAATACGTGAATAGTGCAAATAATCTATGTTTGTGTTTAGTAAAACATTGATTTTGAGTGACCATATCCGCAGGTCGATGAGGAAAACTTATGGCTTACTGAGGCAACTAGTATATCCTACAAAAAATTGCATACCGCTAACATTATAACTACTCATGGGCACAGCTTACTTAAGCCCGTCATTAAGACGTTGAAAGAGGTTGAAAGTAATGCTATTCAGGTTGAAAATATCCGATTAAATGGACTAGCCACTACAGCGTTGAAAAGAAGGAAAGATTTCATTGGCCTAAGATGCAATCTCGTACGCTCCGAGACTCAAGTCTTTGTCCATGCGGTTCGACCTTGGAATCAAGTCCCCAAGTAAAAGAAAATGAAATATTCAACATAAAAATTAAAATGTTCGTACATTCCACTTCCACATTTTACACTCCATAGAGTAGATCGATTGGATCTGCCTCCGTCTTTCAGCGGCCAAGTTTTTTTTAGTATGAACTGCGAAATGGGTCAGCCCGTCCCTATGCAGAATGTACATTTGACATCTTGCCCCATGAGTCAACCATTGTGTTGGGCTGGTGTGTGTATTGAGATGTTCTGAAAGGGCTGGCAACTGCGGGGGACACTGGAGAAGGGCACACAGGACATGTACGCAGACTATAAGCCAGGAACAAAGGGATAAAGAGTACTGGGTAATAGTAAACCAGAAATGGTAGGGGCAAAGGACAAAGGCCAAGGCAGAGGCAAAGCTGAGGCCAAAGGGTTTCGGGTGTTAAAGGATAATTCCATAGCCATATCCATTAGGCTATTGTGTGGCCAGATAAGGGGGAAATTAGGGGACACTTACAGGGACACTCACCAGATATTGTGTGGTCGGAGAGCCGTGAGGGTGGCGTGTGGGCCGGAGTGTGATGGTGCGAGGATGAGTCCATTCCAGGTGTGGGCAGGCCTGAGTACAGCGCACTGAAGTCCTCTGGCGTGCTGCTGCATTTGCGTTGGTGGTTTAGCGACGACGTGGACGACTTGTCCAGCGTGGTGATGGGCGATCGCGTGTCCTGCACGGACGTGGCGAGGCTGAGCAGACGGTTTTCGTGGGAGCCGCCGATGCCCATCAGTCGCTGATCCTGGAACGACATGAACTTGGAGTCCTGGACGCCTCCGTGCTGCATGCTGGCATGATCCTCGAGCAGCCCCTGCTGCAGGCCCAATAGCCCGCCTACCAGATTCGGGCGGAGCTCGTCCATGCTCAGCTTGCCTGCCTGCCCTCCCGACGAGAAGTTCAGTTGCCGGCTGAAGATGGCCGGGAAGATGTTGAACTGCTGCGAGTCAGCGCTGGACTGCGGACTGAGGCCGAGGCTGTGGGGCGCCACTTGTGGTATCGAGGCGACTGCTGCTGCGGCCGCTGCGGCTGCTGACACGGCGCCCGATCCTGATCCCGTTCCGGATGAGCTCGGTCCGTTGCCGATCAGCAGAGTCGGGGCGACGGACACTCCGCCGCTGTTGATCAGCTGTTGTTGACTGTGCTGCTGCTGCTGTTGCTGCAGCAGAGGCGGTGCGGCGCCCACTCCTGCGGGCAAGTGTTGCGACTGCTGTTGCTGGGGCCCGGAAACGGATACCGACGGCAACAGACCGTGATGGCCGTGTGTGATCGCTAGGGCCTGTCCGTGGGCGTGGGCGTGATTGCTGTGGACGTGCGGGTGGTTGTGGGTGAGCGACAGGGCCGAGCTGTTGCTGCTGCCGTTGCTCGCGCTGTTGCCGCTGCTGATTACTGATTGCTGATGCTGTGTTGCTGAGTTGGTATTGCCGCCGACGACGACTCCTCCAGCAGCGCAACCACTACCACCACCGGAACCAGGGCCGCCGGCACAACTTTGATGTTTGAAATCCAACTTGTGGCCGGCGTAAAACCGCTGCGTATCGATATACGTTTTGAAGAAGTCAATTGAATAATCCAACTGAAAGCTGTTTCGCGGCGAACGCGGTCTCGTGGCGTGAAAAAAAAAACAATTAGCGGGTAGAGGAGTCGGGAGTCGGGAGTGGCGCTGGAGATCAGATCGCACTGAAGCTGACTACGGCTTACGGGTTATATTATGTTCCGGCACAACTTGCGTTGTCTCAAGTCTCGCTTTTTTCGTCGTGCTCTTTCGATTTATTGCACTGCAATTCGAATTCCACTCGAGTCAACACTTGTTTCGTTGTTGCTATTTTTGTAACAGTAGGAGCACTTGAAAAAAACTACACGACACATAAAAAAAAGGATAAGCGCTGGAAAAGTTTTCCTTCTTGTGGTCGCCAGTGGCAGTTAATTGCAGTGCAGTTTTCTTTGCTACAAGCGCGCACATTTACCGTACCGTAGCGTATGCTTCTACCGTTTATGTGGATTGTGGATTGTGGATGGTGGATGGTGGATTGCGGATTGCGGATCGTGGACCGAGTGCTGTCTACCGTTGTGACGAGAGTATTTGGAGCCACTGTGCAAATTTGCTTAGGTACACGAATAAAACGAAGAATTTAAAAGCGAAAACAAAGAAGATGAGAACGAATATTCTCAACTGCGGCGCAACGTGTGCTTGTGTTTGACTGTTGGGTGTTTAATAAACTCGACTCGACTCGACTCGTCTCGCGCCTCGCGTCTCGCGTCTCCTTTCCGCACCTTTCCCTAAGAGAGCAGTGAATCGTGTGCCCCTGTGCTCTGTGCTCTGTGCTGTGTGCTGTTCCTCGCTGGTGCTTTCGTTGCTCTTGTTGTTGCTGGTGGCTTAGGCACGGCGGTACGTATTCGCGGCCGATCAAACTTAAAATGATATACAATTTCAAGCAACATACAAAATTATAACGAAATTAAGGATCATGTGCTCGGCAACGTCGGCGCCGACGCTGACGCATACGCTGGCGTTGCTGGCGCTGCTGTCGCTGACTCTGTCCCTAGGACTGTGCGCTGATTCTACTGCTGGTGGTTGCTGCTGTTGCTGTGGGGGCAATTGCGGGCTACGCGCGAACGATTGGTGGTTAGCCCTCACCCCGACTCTGTGTATGTATGTGTCTGTGAAGTCGAGACCACGAATCGTTAGTCGTACTAATAATTTTCGAAAAATGAAACTTGTGTTGGTGAGTGTCTTTATGGGAGTGCTAGTGTGTGTGTGTGTGTGTGCCCGTGTCTGGCTGTGTGTGTGCGTTCGTTGGGTTGCAAAGGACCACGTTGTATGAATGCGATAGCAGCACATGCCAGTTGTGCCTTGAAAGTGAAATACATATATTGCCTGCCCACTTGCACGGCGCTGTCACTTGCTGTCTCGCTTTAACTTGTTTGGTTAATTTCGTTAGTTGTTGCCAATGCCGTCGCCATTGCTGCCTTTGTCGCTGAAGTCGCCCTAGCTTCGTTTGTTTTGCGACAGAGAGTCAACACACATACATATTTATGTACATACATACATACATATGTGTATGCGCATATGTATGCAGGATAAATTCTCGTGCAGACATACATACATACACACACATGTCTGTAAACACACATGTATGTAAATACGGGCGTATATGTAACGATAGTTACGAAGCCAAAGCTATAGCCGTATGCATGTTAAGTATAATTTTCTCTATCTAATAAGCCTTGTTACGCTGCAGCCGCTCATGAGTTTGTTGCTCACCGCTCGCTCGCCCTCGTCCAGGCGTCGCGAAAAACCAACACTTATTCCATTGCACGAAACTTATTTTTTCTGAATATTCCAAAAATGTCTGATTACTCACTTACAAGTGCAGCCCAGAGGAGAGCACTCCTGCACAGTGAAAGTGGCACGCCTTCCCAGCTGGCATCCAATAAGTACCCACTACCTCAATCAGTGTGCTTAAAAGCTCGCCTTGGCAATCTATCAAGAGAAGGGCTTGGGAAGTCATTTCTGGTGCATTACATCCAGTTGCAGTTGCTCCAACTGTCGCCAATATTTCTACTCGAATGTGACGACCAGAGTAGCTGCAGGTTGATATCGCAATGCATGCTCCAAATGAAGTGAGGCCTCACTCGATGCTGGCCGTAAAAGAGAGCGAGGGAGTGCCGGGCATAGAAAGAGACAGACGTGAACTGCAACCACAAAATCAGGAGCGAGAAGGCAACGATACGGCGTTGGTTGGCTGCGACCTTTGGCAGAACAACTCGAACGCTGCTTGTCTCTACGTTTGTCTCGCTCAGGCGCATGCCCGCATAGGGTCAACGGCGGCGCACCAATCGCTGAGCACCAAAACAAAGTTGTCGTTTTTGTTGCCGCTGCTGCTGCTGCTGCTGCTGCTGCGCAATGAATTAGTCTTCGTTAAATGTGGCGACGGCAGTGGTAGCAGGGACTGAGAACGAGCAGAGGCAGCGGAGCGGCAGCGCCCAAGCACTTGACTTCCTGCGCTGTTGCCCATTTTCTTTGCCATTTTCTTCTTTCGTCATACTTGCAGCTGCGCACCGCTGTCCTTTTATCCATCTGTCTCTTTAATCCTTAAAACAATACATTCGACTGAGAGCCTGAAAATGGTTGACTACTGCTCCATTTTCATGGAACCAACGCCGTCGCTCATGGCATGAAATCATCCAGCTCCTCAGCGGCGTCCGCCAGGTCCCGAGCCTGGCCCTGGCCTGTACCGTTAAGTTAGTTTTGCTTTGAAGTGGTCTGCGATGGGCTAATCATCGTATCTCTTGTCGTTGTCATAATAAATGTCTGTATGTATGTATGTACGTATACATGTACCTACATATAACCCGGTTCATTCTCCTCTCTCCACCCTCTCTAACTCATTTCTATCAGCATGGTTCGAAATGACTACAGCGTTTCCCCTCGAAAACAACATAGACAGAGAGGAAAATGTTAAAGTCAACCCAAGACCTCCCCATGCACACACACACGCATACACAGCCACACAAAGCAACGGGAAATCTTAAAAATGAGCAAACTGTAAAAGGAACACGGAGGAACAGTTACGGTCAAAATTATAGTAAAAGAAACAACACTATGTACGCAAATGGGAACATTGCAGTACATACATACATACATACATATGTACATATGTATGTAGGTTTGGGGTAGCAGTCCATTGGAACCCGCTCTGTTTTATTGGAACCCTATCCAAATTGTAAAATTATGAATTTGTATCAACTGCTGGTGGCACATGCATGCATTGGTATGCTCATCATTCTATATGTACAGTGCCGGACTTAAGTGTAGGCACAGCAATAACTTTTCACTTTACAGCTGTTATAAGAGATTTTCCCTCGCGATGTTCAGAAGAACAATAAGTTTATCCGACGAATTTCCTATAAGATTACCTAATTTTTATGACCGTAATTTTATTGTTTTTTAACGAAAAATGGGTCGAAAGTATTGGCACACTTAGCATTTAGCACTTTTTAATGAGCTTGAAATTTGGGCATATGGTCATATTTTTTGGACCCACAGTCAGTTCTATGTAGTTCCGTGGAAGTGTCCAGTATTAAATCTCAGAATACCTCCAAAGCACAGGGGCTAAAACAGCCAATTTAATTTAATTTTTGAATTTGAAAGCTTAATATTTTTCAGACTGTAAGGTAGGTGATGATAGTTCTAGCCTAGAAAAGTCTAGAAATTTGTAGATAAACTTTACAGAAGGGTGCTTAAAACAGTATATTTAATATAATATAATAAATTTTTTAGTTTTAATGTAAAAAATGTCTGTTTATTATTGAAAATCTAGACTTCTTTGAACTGGCGGCAAATTGTTGCGCCATCGAAAAATTATGTGTACTTTGAGATAAAAATAATAATAATAATAATACTAAAAATATTAAAAAAAATAATGATAAAGTCCATAATGCATTTTTAATCAAATATATTTAAATTGAAATGTTTTAGGAGTTGGAAAATTGTGTTTTTATAAATTAGATTGGCCGTTTCATCGATTGAGCAATGTTCGCCAAACCGCCACAAATGTATAACAATGAGAGGTGAGGATTATAAACCACAAATGTGAGAGGAAAATTATTCTGCATTTCCCCAACCAAGGTGCCGACTTCCATTCGGAGCAAAAGGGAATCGAGTTTACGCTTATCCATCCCTGAATACTCGTACATTGGTATGAAATATTCAGTGTTCATTATCCAAGCTATGAAATATAAAAACCTTTCAAGTTTAATATACCCGGTACTCGAAGAGTTTAGTTTTCTAGTGGATGTGGATAGTACATACAAATTTTCTTGATCAGCATGAATAGCTGAGTCGATATAGCTATATCTATCTGTCCGTCCCGACAAGCAACCAAATTTTGTGTATAAAATCGTTG